TAATTCTTTTTAAATTTTTTTGTCTGAAAAATCACTGACAAAATATATTTTAATTTTAATTAAAATAAATTTTATCAATTTTTTTTAAATGTAATTATTTTTTGTAAATGTAAGTACTTTTTTGTTATATTTGTTTAATTTTATAGATCTAAATACTTTTTGGTTGAAAAAATATTTAGGGACTTAATCGTTTAAAATATGAATGTTCATTAGGTTTTTTCGCACTTTTTCACTATTTTACCACTTTAACTGGTTGTACAAGTCATAAGAATGTATCCAACATGTTTTAGAAAAGTCCAAGAAGTTATTTAACATGTTTTGGATTGTTCAAAGACTTATTTGTTTCAAAAATTGTCCAATGAGTTATTTAACATATTTTAAATTGTCCAAAAACTTATTTGTTTCAAAAAATTGTTCAAGAAGTTATTTAACATGTTTTGAAATGTTCAAGAACTTATTTGTTCTAAAAAATTGTTTAAAAACTTAATCATTCCAAACACTAAAATTCATTGGATTTTTTTAGATTTTTTTTTTTTACCAAACAAGTTCACCTTATAATAACATGTTTGTATTACATTTGATGCGGGATGTACAAATCACATGTTAAAAACAAAAGTTGGAACAGAAGTTTGACGGAGACCCCAAATTTGTAACCGCGGTGTGAAGCATATATAGTTTTAACCCCCAAGAAATCCAGATCCAGAACTTGCACAAGTTAGGGCTTAGCCCTACAAAAATCAAACAGTTTTCCTGCTAAATTCCATACCAATTCATATCAAGTCGATCGGCGACCAGTATCTTCTCCGTCATAATCTCCGATTAGGTCAGTTTCCTACATCTATTTCCATCATTTATCTCATTCGTGTTGTGTAGAACATACACAATTGTCTACACTTTATACATTTGAATTTACAAATTTCCAAAACCCTAGTTTGTACTCTACTTCAGTAAATTTTGCTAATATGTGTGGGATCATGAGATCGAATCCGGGAACATATTTAACTGGTAAAGTTGTTTTGAAGTACAATTACTCAAATATATTGTCATTTGGATGGAAGTAAACTGAATTAGGATGCATACTATGAAGATCATGATATTAAGTAGTTATTGGTAATGCGAGGTTTCTAGTAAATCTCTTTGTATGATATGGATATAAGTCAGGGTTGTGTTTAAGAATCCCATTCCTCTGCTTGAAATTGAAGTTGAAATTTGAATCAAATGGATCTAAATTTAATTTTAAACCTCTGATCTCTGTGCAAACACTAACCTAAGGTTCATTACAGGATTGTTCAAGAAAAATGTGTTGAATGTTTTGAGCATTTAATCTCATTTTTCTTACTGATAGTGCTTGGTTTCTAGTAAATCTCCGTATGATCTAAATATGATTTGATAACCTGTTCAGGAAATCAATATGTTGCTTGGAATTGGAATTTGAATTTGAACCAAATGATCCAAATCCCATTTCAAACCTCTGATCGCTAATGCAAACACCACCTAAAGGTCCATTACAGGGTTGATCTGGAAAAAACTGTTGAATGTTTTAAGCATGTAAGAAGTTAAAGAAATTCTTACACTATATTAGTTTAGTAATTTCATTAATTTGTCTTTGACATAAATCAATCCAAAGAAGCAGCAAAATTGCTGATGATTAGTTGCCAATTCAAACATTTGTGTGTGATTTCCCACAAGCCTTATAGGGATGGACTACTTGTAAGCAATGTGAAACGGGTTCAAGATTATTTTTTGTTTGTGTGACGATAGGTCACGAATCATGAGCTGGTGCGAACAAGAAAGGACCTGGATAAAAGTTGCAACAGGAACTTGTTTTAGCTTGATTGATAAGACTAGCCTATATATTATAGATCAATATTTCATTGAGCAAACTTTCTACAGGTTCAGCTATGTGTTTAGAGCTATACTGAATACAACTTATCATTTATATTTCAGATAAACTCTTGGTGAGGCAATGAATTTTCTGGGGCTGCGGTCCCAACAGACTGCAGCTCAAGTGCCACAAGCTCCACCACCACAAACTCTACTTCCGCAAGCTCAAGCAGAACCAAACAATAGGAAGCCAACTACAACATTAGAGGATCTTGTAGCTGAAGATTCGTTTCCATTAGCGTCTTTGATTGATAATTTTGATGGGAGAAGTGAAGGAACAGGGAGTGAAAATGGTGCCTTTGGGGGCTTAAGTACGAAGAATGGAGCACCTATTGTGGATAAACACATAGATGTTTGTGAAGAAGAAGGATGGATCACCATTCCATGCAGTACTCCCTTGCCATTTCTCTTAGTATATTATATTTCTTATGAAGCACAATTGTCTGCAAATGATGGCACAGTTTTGCTTATGATACTTCACATGTGATCTTCTTCTAAATCTTGATCAGCATGATCATCATACTGCATGCAAACATTTATTCTGTTACAAGTATCTTCTGTTTGTGTTTCTTGGAGGTAAAGGTAGTACTTATAGTAGAATGTTTTCCACTTGATGCATCTGTTATACAGGTGAACCAATGATATTAAGCTATGACTTCCTAAAATCAGAAAATCCTCTTTCATATTTTTTACATGAGGTCCACTTTTAAGGTAGAACATTTATACCTTATGGAGTCTGGTATGGCTGATGTTGCTAAAAGTTGGATGTGTTTCTGTTATTACGTTGCCTCTTCCCTTACACTAAATTAACTGCCACATGTTTTCCCTGTCTGTGCCATTGACATGCTTACTGATCATTACTAATAAATCTAGCTTGCATGCCTTGCATAGAATTTTTTTTATGGTGCTTCTTTAATTGAATATAGAATTGTGTTTTGGATGGACCTGCAACTGAAATTCATGAGTCACCATTATTCATGTGTATCAAGTTTCTTCGTCGACTATTTATGATGAATCCAACTGGGGAAAATGATTCTTGGTTGCTGTTTAAGAACACAAAGTTTAATGAATTCTTCCTTGAGCTATGCCATTTATGTTTAGGTAATGCTATTAATATTTTTGTTAGTTGTTTCACCTTGTTGTAAAAGAATCAAAGTTCTCATCATACAAAACACCTCTCCTGAATTCAAGGTTTTAAGGGCTCTGACTGTTATGATGTTATAAGACAACGAAAAGTATTGGCAGGGCATATTGGTGCTCATCCTCAACTAATGCAAAGACAAACAATATATATGAACCTCGTTGATTACATTACACTTCAAGACAAAGAAAATATATACAAACTTCATCGGTTGGCATCCGGTTTAAGATACGAAGAGCATGGTTAATTGATTTCCATTGAGTAACTTGTGTCAATATTAGTCCATCTTCTGTTGAAACTGACAAATAGTTCCAGGGATCATAGAAAAAGGGAACCTGAAACTTTTCGAGTTCCGTGGCGTTAAAACAGTTAACCATGTACTTGGGCCAAATGCTCTGGACAAATAACTGTAAACATGGTTAATAGTATTATGCTAATAATACTCAAAAAGGCACTTTAATAATGGCTGGTATGATTTCTATTGTTGTTTCTTTATGCACCATGTATAGAACTATAATTGGTGTTTTATCACTTTTGCAGAGGAACTTCCTGAGAGTTGGAGTGAAGAACCAGATATGCTATCTTTTAGATCTTTCGACCGCCCCTTTGTTTTCCCAGGTAGCTGTTTTTTTTTTACAAATCTCCTCCTTGAATTAGTTTTAACGTGGGGTTCAGCCATTCTACCTGTAAGGAGGGATTTTTTTTATAGTCCCCTCTCCTATTTTCTTCTCCATTTAAAAAAATATATTTTCTGTATTTCCAGGAGAACAAGTTCATATACTAGCATGCTTGTCCGGATATAAGCAGGACACAGAAATTATCACTCCGTTCAAGGTTGCTGAAATGATGAGTAAAAATGGCAATGGCCGAAATGCCAAAAAACAAAACGGTGAGATTATGCATGGATCTGCACCTGTTCACGAAGTGATCTTAAGTACTGATGCTCACGATTTAGATGAAAATGCTAATAATATTTTGGAAGTCAAGACTAACCCAAAGAAGGATGTATCCGCAGGTGAATCTCTTCTCAGGATGGAAGATCACAGAAGGCAAACTGAAATGCTGTTGCAAAGATTTAGGAATTCCCATTTTTTTGCACGAACTGCTGAGGCAGATGAGCCACTTTGGTCAAAAAGAAAAACACAGGAAACATTCCGAGAATCAACAGAAATGATTGGAGGGAAGTTCACTGCACACGATGTGGAATCCATCAAGGGTGCTGATAAGAACCCCCTCCTGAAGGCGTCAGTTGATAGAGGAAATCTTGATGCTAGTACCTCAGGTGGAGTGGCAAGAAATGGGTTTAAGTGTAGCTCACTTGCTAATGGAGATATAGTGGTATGTTTCCGTAATGAGGTGCATTACAGTTTTACTATTTTTTATCTGCTAGTCTGTTAGCAACGCAGAGCTGTATGTTTAGGTAAAGTTAGGCTCACATTTTTTATCAGATTATTATGTGTTAATTTTGTGTTAGCGTGCGCTAAATTCATCTGATAGTAGAGCACCTAGACAGTAGTGCTTGATAAATAAAAATAACATAAAAGAATGGTTCAGTTCTTAGAGATTGGACAAATAGGACTGTAAGTTGATCTTCAATTTACTTTGTTTGAAAGTATTTTGTTTTAGGGTTGGCGGATTGGTTCTCATGTGCATGATATCAATTTAAACGTCTAGGAATTGAAGAGCACATGTGGCGAACCATGCAGTTTAAGGTGTAGGCATGTTTTAGGATGACATATCTGCATTACCTGTTAATGCTTTTGATAAGCTTCTCACTAATTGGTTTTCGAGCCATATACTTAACTAAGTGAGTGGAATATACTGGGTTCGTTTGGTTTGGTTTAATGCTTAACTAAACTGAAGCCAACGAGTCTTAAACCCAAACAAATTCAGGTAGGGTAAAAGCACCAATAGGAAATGTAGATAAGACGAAAATAGGACAACGTAAGTGAACTATTATGGGGTGTCATTCTGTGATTAAATTTTGGTAGGTGTCTAGTTTGTTAGGAATTTGGGCTGGTGCCTACCTTTCTTTCTTTAGGGTGGGGTTGGCAACACCATTCTAGCATGGGAAGCCTGTCGTATAGGTTCCAATATAATCATGTGAAAATTCAATGTGAACTTAGATACACCGTGAGCCAACATGTCAAGCATAGATGATGCCCATATCATGCTAAAGTAGGGACTGTGTTCTTGTTGCTTCTTGTACTTCTCTTGTAGGATATAGAGGCAATACACCCAAGTACCACGCCACAAGTAGAAAGCAAGAGAGGGAACTGTGCACCATGCATTTTGGTGTAGTATAGCAGTGCAAGGGTTTGTGATTTCTTCTAGTTTAGCTTTATCTGCCTTACAGAGATACATAATCCAGCTGAGTTGAGTTATATGATAGTTCTTTCTTTGTGAGAACCATTAGTCATCATTTCTATACGTCACTTCCAACTTACAGGTTGTCCTCTGATTCTTTTATGTCAACCTCCTTAATGCTACACATGTATATTGCTAAATGTGTTAACCCCCAAAGTGATTGTGGCCATTACTTCTCGGTGTATTAGAGTTATTTTATTGAAAGGATGCATTATTACTGATTTGCATTATTTTCTTGTTTGGAAGGATGCAGGTGCTTTTACAGGTAAACATTGGTGTGGACTGTTTGAAAGATCCAGTCTTAGAAATTATCCAGTTCGAAAAATATCAAGAGAAAACATTGACTGAGGCTGCAGAAAACCGAACTCACTCAAATCAGGACCCTTGCGAAGATCTGTTGAAGTGGTTGCTTCCTTTGGAAAATTCTTTACCTGCTCCATCTCGTTCTGTATCTCCTCCGCAATTGGGTTCTGGTTCAATTACTCGTGGCTCATCCACAAAGATCAATTCCTCAGGCTCATCTGCTTCTCCGATATTTTCGTTTGGTAACTTCAGAAGTTATTCCATGTCCTCAATTCCTCCTAACACTGTACCACCTGTTTCACCCAATAATTCTATACCAAGCCTTGATCTAGAAGATCAGGATCAGTTTTCAAGTAAGAAGTCTGGAATGAATGAAAAAGGTGAGAGTGAAGGACTTATGTCTTTCCGAGGTGTGACGCTGGAGCCAGAAAGGTTTTCTGTTCGCTGTGGACTAGAAGGCATTTACATACCAGGCAGACGGTGGAGGAGGAAAGTTGAAATCATACAACCTGTGGAGATCTGTTCTTTTGCTGCTGATTGCAATACAGAAGATCTTCTTTGCGTTCAGATAAAGGTTCAAACTTCTTTTCCAAGTTTAAACTTCTGTTAAGAAACTGAACTTTGTGATATGTAAGCGTACTGCAAATAGTAACTAACTAATGTTTTCATCTATTTAAATTATGATTTTACTGTCATGCAGAACGTTTCTCCTGCACACGTACCAGATATTGTGATATACTTGGATACAATAACAATTATACATGAGGAGGCTTCGAAAGGGGGACCCCCTTTGTCTTTACCAATTGCATGTATTGAAGCAGGCGATGACCACAGCTTGCCAGATTTAGCCCTCAGGTTATTCTATTCTCAATTTGTTATTCGTATGTAGGTTGTTTGTTACTTTGTTATTTATGTTGGCGGCCTTAGACCTTTCCAGTAGTTACGAGTGCCGATTCCCGTGATAGCTAGCTAGGTCTGGAGATCTGGAAAACTTGCTTGTTATACTATTCTAATGCCTTTACTGTACTTCTTTTCGCTACACACTCTAATTTTGCATATACTATCTCTTGTCTCGTGCTCTTTAGTAACTTCTCAAAACTTTTTCTCGAGCCGGAGGTCTTCATGGAAACAACCTCTGTACTAATCGGGATAGAAGAAAGATTTCGTTTATGTTGGTTGTTTGTGTCATATCAATCTTAGAGGACTACAATTGAGATGTCAAAGTATGTTGAATGTAGACCATTACAATCACTTTACCACAAAACTCTCATTGATGGTCTTGTTCAATTTGAAGCATCTTAGAAAATCACTGCTATTCATGAAACCGATCATTATCTCTTTTCCATGATAGTAGGTTAGGTAACAGTAGTTTACTAATTTGTGTATGACCTACTGGCCTTTGAGGTGACACAGTTCTGGGATATGGGAAGGGTCTAACCCATGGCAGGCAAGAGTGAAGGTTCTTCTGTGAGTGGTTGCCAGTGAAACATCGGTTATGGTGTAGGTTCAAGTTAATATGACAAAACTGAAGGATCGAGTCGTATACATCTTGATTCCAATTTAGCAGTTTTCTATATGGAGAATTTCATCCCACCCACTATATTCCTCGGTTTCCTTTTTCTTCCTTCCCTAACTTGAAATCCATTTGTTCTTGACCTAGGTGAAAGCATGCAAATTCTTTTTATTGGGTTATTTTTTTATACAATTTCGTTTGATCTTCAGTTTGTTGATCGCTAGGCTATCAGCAATCCAGATTTTGGCCCGTACATTTATCCAACTTATCTTTCTGTCTTATCCTTGGCCTGTAGCAAGTAGCATGCTGAATCATGTCTGCTTCTCAGATGATGAAACTTCTTTGTGCGATGTATGACCTCATACAATCTGCGTGCTTCTTGCTCAAAATAAGTCCTTGAATATTTGTATTATCGCTTCTTTTCTTCAGTTCAGTATGTCAGAGAAGGTGAATTGTGGGCAACCACCTATAGGTGGACCTACTTGCAGATGACTTCCATGGTCAAATAATGAGCAAATGTAAGACTGTACTTGTAAAATAAAAGCAACTGCAGCCTTGCTTCTTTCTTTAATTATCATGTTGTAGCTCCCTTGTTTGGTAAAACATCATTTTGTTGCATCTTGCTATTCGAGTAATTATCATGTTGTAACTCCTTATTTGATTCCTTAAAGAACGAATAGGTTATATTTAGGATTTTTCAATATTAAATAGTAATATTGATCTTAAGTTGTATGCACTATGTTGCCTATCCTAAATTACTTCTGACATACGTTGACAGGAGAGGGGAAGAACACTCCTTCATTCTGAAACCAGCAACGTCATTGTGGAGGAGCAGTAAGGGTCTAATTGATAGAAGTCCTCGATCATCACATTCGCAGGCTGGAACTGCAACATCGAGTGTTCATGGCCCCTCTAATGTAGACCGTGGTGTAATGTTTGCTGATAAATATGCTGTTCTAGTATCATGTCGATGCAACTATACTGGTAATTCATTTAGTTATGTACTTCCTGAATGCATGGGTTGCTTCTCCTATATACATACATACACACATATATATATACACACATACATAGAGGGAGGTTCAGGGGAAAACCCCCCAAAAAATGAAAAATACATATATATGCATACATACATACATACATATATATATATATATATATATAAATATAAAGATGTGTTATATACTAATATATTTTGGATGCAGAATCTAGGTTGTTCTTCAAGCAACCAACAAGTTGGCGACCATGTTTGTCAAGGGATCTCTTGATCTCCGTTGCATCTCAAATGTCGAAACCAGCTCTTGGTTCAGATGAGAGAGTTCCTCAATTACCCGTTCAGGTTTCCATCTGAAAAACAGAACTCGTGATTATGATGATAAAACCAAGTGAATAGACGTGGAAGCTCATAAAAATTCATTTTGGTCAGGTTTTAACTCTTCAGGCTTCAAATCTGACATCTGAAGATCTAACACTAACAGTGCTTGCTCCGGCCTCCTTTACTTCACTTCCTTCTGTGGTGTCCTTAACTTCTACACCTGCTTCACCTACAAGCCCGTTTGATGTTTCCTCCGAGTCAGCAGCTGGGCGATTCAGTGGTGATAGACAGAGTATTTCTCTGAAGAGACTCAGCTCAGCGTCTAATGTGATAGAAAATCAGAGACGCGGTGATGAATTTGGGACACATTCCGGCTCCTTCAATGAGCAAACAATTTCCATCACTGACGTACTTCCAAAAAGTGATCTGGGATGCACACATTTGTGGTTGCAGAGTAGAGTTCCTCTAGGGTAAAAATTCTCATCTTGTTCCTCTATGACTTCTGAATTTTTTTCCAAGATTTACAAGATGATTTATCCAGTTTTTTCAAAATTTATGCGTACCTGCTTTTCTCGTTTTCACACACTTTTCACAAGCCAGGTGTCTTTTCATGGATTCTACTTTGAGGTAGACGGCAGGTCTGTGTACATCTTAACCTCCCTAGACCCCACCTATTGGGTGGTAGATGACAGGTCTGTGTACATCTTAACCTCCCTAGACCCCACCTATTNCATCTTAACCTCCCTAGACCCCACCTATTGGGTGGTAGATGACAGGTCTGTGTACATCTTAACCTCCCTAGACCCCACCTATTGGGTGGTAGATGGCAGGTCCGTGTACATCTTATCCTCCCTAAACCCCACCTAGTGGGTGGTAGAGGGCAGGTCTGTGTACATCTTACCCTCCTTAGACCCCAGCTACTAGGTGGGACATATTAGGCTTGTTTGGTTTATTTATGAGATTTATGAAGGTACTGTTTTTTTGCACCAGATGTGTTCCTTCTCGATCTACGGCAACCATCAAGCTTGAGCTACTTCCACTCACTGACGGCATTATCACTCTAGATTCGTTACAGATTAGCGTTAAGGAAAAAGGTACCTCATCATTCTGCTCAACTTCTTCCACCCCCCCCCCCCCTTTATTTCGTCTATATATGTATTACCACTGCCACATCTTAAACTTAGTGCAACTCTGACCTACCAGGTAGTTTAATGGGGTTGTTCACCTATTAGTTAAATAGGTAAATTAATGAACACACCAAATCCTGCACCATTTTAGTGTTGTGCACAGTAAGATTGCCTTTGGTATACAGATAGGATAGGATAGGATAGGATAGGATAGGACATGACAGGAGTTCGGCATTCGTTAAGACATAACTCGACATGACAGAACATATAAAATGACTAATTTACCCCTAATGAGTTGTTTATATCTTTTATATATTCTGATTAATTTATATAATTTATTAAATTATGATAAATAAAAAAAAATTATAACAAAGATGCATCATTAGAAAGTTTTCATCAAAACGATTAAAATGACACCAAAATAAAAAGTTTATATGGTTTCCAATTTTTACTTTATACCTTTTCTATATTATTTTTTTATTATTAGTATTTAATAAATTACATAAATTTACCAAAATTTAGAAACCTCACGAGGATAGTAAAGTGAAAGTTTAAGAAGCAAAAAATACAATAAATAAAATTTAAAGAATGAATAAACTGTAAAGAGGGAGGCGTATTTGATGTTTAGAAGGGAATTAACTTTTATTTTGAGGTTATGTTGGTAAAATATAGGTCTGTTTCACTTTGTTCCACATAAAACGTGGAACGGTTATTTTTGTTTTGTTCTGTCCCGTCCGGTATACCAAAAGAACCCTAAGTGGTTCATACCCTGAATGTCAATCAGAAGATGGTAGTGATATTGAGAAACTTGATTGATTCTGGTACAACAGGTTTAACCTATATCCCGGAACACTCCCTGAAGATAAACGCAACTTCCAGCATACGTACTGGAATCATATAAGTCAGCTACTTATACCGGAGGAGCATATATACAATTTGTTGCTACATGGGGGGTGGGCTTAGATGTTACACACTTTGAAGATGATTACATGCTCCATGGTTGGCCGTTGATTGGACCGTGACAGAATGGTTGTTGGGCGGTTGATCCATGAGCGTTGATGGTCCCTGGTATCGATCGTATGGTATGCGTGTGGTCGGGTATATTTGGTTGTGTGAGATTGAATTGTAGTCTTTTTTTGAGGATGACAGATTGTATGGTTTGAGTTTTTGTTTTTTATTATGTATGTAGCTGGTGACCAGCAGAAAAAGACCTCAATTGGTGTGTGGAATGAATCCAAAGGAATACTTGTATATTGATACTTATGAAATGTGTTTTATACATGCGTATACATACATAGCACACATGCATACGCATACCCATGTATAGGGTTGGGTCATGTTTTTTTTTCAGATTTTTGAAACCATAAATTGACACTGAAACTTTACAGCAAAACAATGTAAAGGTACAAAAAACATTGAACTTTCACAGCAAAAACATTGAAGGTTTTACCTTCAAAATGTTTTACAATGAAAGTTTAGTGTTATTTATATGGTCTCACAAGATAACAATGTAATCTTTCATGATCCCAATTATATATATATATATATATATATATATATATATATATAAAATTGGGATCATGTAAGATTAAATTGTTCTCTTGTGAAACTATATATATATAGGTTACGTGAAAACTTATCTTAGAAGAAGTTATTAGAGATAAAACATGTCCTCTCCATCGAAGCCATTGACACGTGTTTTAAGACAGAATGGGATGGGATAGAATTAGAACTTCGTAAAAGAATTGTACAAGATTTTAAAGTTTTAAATTAACAAGGACAATTTAGTAATTTACAAATCTTATCTTACATTTTCTTAATTTTGTTTTCGTCAAACAAATTCTTTTTATTCAATCATATTCTGGAGCACATACCAAATGAATCCTTGGAGTAATCAGATATTTTCAGATCCCAGTTTTTAAGTGGATTATATTAAATTTGTTTAGTTGTTTCATCTTCTGGTCAATGAATCACTACTCGTCTCTTGTTGACTTTCTTAAATAAACTCATCAAAATCAACCATTTTTCAAAATATCTTTCTGTTACAAACAACTAAAAATGCAATAATTTTTTTATATTAATCTGCATATCCGATCCGCTATTCGAGTCGAGTAATCCCAGAACAAACAATTGTTTTGCAAGTAGCCCAGAGTCATCGCGCTTGAACCTGCGTGGTCACAAGAAAATTTTTATTCCTCGGATTTGAAACTGGGACCTCCAAACACTTTTGACATTTGGAGCCGAGCTCAAACGAATTAGACACCACCCTTTTAGTTTAAATTATTTTTGCTTTTAGAGAATATGATGTCTACTTGTCTAGGGTTATTTTTATGTTAATATTTGTTTATAATAGTTGGCTCTTTTAAATTATAATAGAAAGAAATATTATTTATTTATTTCATATTCATTAATAATTATCATCAAATAATAATTACATCAGTTTTCATTTTTTCTGATCATTTTATATATGTTGCAAGATCTTTAGAAATTTTAGGTTTACATATTTGCTTTTTTACAGTCACATTAGAGATGTACAACAATCGGATTTTTTTGGCCCTAGTCTCGGACCTTCCAAAACCGTTTTCAGTAAGTAAAAAGTGACTCCATCGTTTTTCAAGCCTTTACTTTGAGTGTGAAAATAAGTGAAGTTACAAGCTCGGGTTTCTGGGAAAAAAAGAACTTTGCCCGATTGGTTTTTAGGTATGGGCTTCGAGCTTGCTAGATTCGGGTTTTAAAGTTGTTTTAATAAATTTATTACTAATTAAATTGGTGTCAACTTAAAAGATATATCACAAATTACTCATTGTCTTCGCTTAGGTTGTGGCACACAGTCTTAGAGGGTAATGGAAAAATCTCATCTGCTCCGAGTTTGAATCTAGGTGCTCTCGAATCCCTTGTGGTTGTGAAGCTTTTCCTGCGATAACTTCAAGCATTCATGGTCGTCCAGAGGATTAGTCAGTGTGCATAAACCGACCCGAAAACCCACGGATAAAAAAAAAATCCAAAGAAAACTAAAGTGTAAAAGTATCATACAAGAAGAACATCATCAACAGATTTTCAAAAAGAAAGATAATTGAAGTTCTGTTTTCTATTTTGCTCTAGCAAATTTTCTATGTTATTTTCTTAAATTGAAGAAAACAAAAGGAAAAACTCTAAGGGGGTGTTTGGTTAAAGGTATTAAACAGTAATCAATGAGAATGAAAATAAAAGAAACTGTTTGGTATTATATAATACTAGAAGAGTACTCGTGCAATGCAGCGGGACACATCTCGATTTTAATGTTCTATTTTATTGTTTGTCTCTATCGATGTTATAATATGATTTTATGTGTTTTTAAGAAAGCAATAATGATTGTATTTTTGAATAAAATATAAATTTGAAGATATCATAAAAATTTGGAAAAAAATATATTAATGTTAATATCAAATCAACTATTTAAAAGTTATCATTTTTTGTATAATTTCTTTAATTTGTTTTTTTATTAATTTAATTTAAGTTTAATAATGAAATAATTTATTTTTGGTTTAATAATATAACATTTTATAAATATAATAATTAAGTATCCTTTAGAACTCAATGATTATCCTAATTATATTTTAGATTTTTTTATATTTAAAATGAGATGTTTATCTTGTATTTGATTATGCTTATCTGCAGTTAGTTACACGAATTCATATATGGAGATTTAATAAGTTGTACTTACGCACAATCTAATTGTAATATTGAGTTTAAAGTAATATGCATTAATAAAGTGTACTTTACGCATAAAAAATGATTTTTAAGAGTTTTTGTCAAATGCTTTATAATATAGTATAGATAATGGACTCGTTCCCCAAAATCCCAAATTTTCATCCTAGATTATTTTCATTCCCCAGCATGAACCAAACATCCCCTAAGTCTAGAGAATTTTAAACTGAATTATAACTAATATAATAATAAATTTTTTTTTTAAATATGACAAACTTATAAAATATTTTAACACTATAATTAATATAATTCTCAATTTAGAGTTTTTTTAAATATTAATTTTAGTTATCTATTTTTGATAAATAATAAAAAAAAATCTATTATATATATATTTTAAAATAAAATAAAATATAATAAAATGTTTGTATATATCTTACTATATTATAAAGTATTTGAAAAATACTATTAAAAACTATTTTTTATGCACAAATTACTGTTTATTAATGTATATTACTTAAAATTTGAGGTTACAAATAAATTGTACGTAAATATAAGTTATTAAAGCTCCATGTTTGAATTCATGTAACTAACTGCAGATAAACATGATCAACTACATGATAAACATCTTATTTTAAATATAAAAAATATAAAATATAATTAAGATAATCATTGAGTTATACTTATATCATAATACTTAGGGGCCATTTACTAAACACTTACTCGGGTAAGCGCTTACCAAGTCACATTACCTTACCGGATGAATATGATAAGAACTAAGAATCTTATTCGGTAAAAGCGAGACAAGGACCATAAATCTTACCCGGTAAGTGAGGGCGATCGACTCTTACCACGTTAAGCGCTTACCGGATAAATTGTTGTATACAATGTCGTTTTGATGGACTAAAATCTTACCTGATAAGTAATCAATAGTATTAAATTTTACCGATAAGTACTTACCTGATAAGGGCTGTTTATTATCCTTATAAAAATTATATTATTAAACCAAAAATAAATTATTTCGTTATTAAACATAAATTAAATTATAATAAAATATTCAAATTTAAAAAAAATTACATAACGAACGAGAATTTTTAAATGGTTAATTTGATATTAATATCGATATATTTTTTTCAAATTTCTATAAATAAAAACATAGTCGTTTTTTCATAATCATATAAAATCGTATTATATCGATAGAGCAAAAAGAAAACGAAATATTATCTCGATGTATCTCGTTACATTGCACGAGTATTCTTCTAGTGAATATTAAATTATAATAAATGATAATAATGGAATGTTTTTATTTAATTAATTTATTTATACGAATGATAATATAGATAAATATAAAGTAGGTCATTTATTATAGTTACATACATTAATATCATGAAGTAGGTTCCATTATTTAAATAGAAGGTTATCATTTCTTGCGTGTTTTTGAAGACAACTTCTTTTATAAATATAGTAATAAATTGTTCCATTTTTTTTAAAACCCATAATGGTGGGTGGACCCACAAAGATTTTCTAACCAGATGCATTTTTAAAGTTAAGCTGTTATTTGTTCATCTCTTAATAATTTCATTAAGAAATAATATATGAATTATTAAGAGGTGAATCTTGTTTGATAAAAAAAAATATGTCTTTTAATGTATTCTAGAACTCTATGAATGATTTTTGTATTTTGTGTCTCCCTTAATCATTCAATGCTCTAATTTTATTGTAAACAATTATATTTCATTTTGTACTATATCACGAGAGCATTTGAATCATTTTAATCACTTAATCATTCTGCAACAAACCATTCAACAACTGTCAAACAGCTCCTATTAAAGTTGTTGTTTTAACTCAGGAAAAAGTTAACTTGGAGGAAAATTCAATTGTGTCGATTTGATATTGTACGTTTTTACAAATGAAACTGACTTTGACTTTTTGATTAAGATGCAACACTACGTCTTACACTCGGCCGAATTCCAACTTTACGAGATATTTTTTTTTGGTTGTTTTACGGAACCGTCAACAGATGCAACAATAAAATATAATTTTATAAATTTATGGAGGTAAATATGTTTAATGACATCATGGATAGTGGAATAATAACCTATTGAGGGGTGGCAGTTGCTAAATAATTTGGTGCAAAATGATTAAGTGGTCGGAATGATTAAGAGACTCTCATAATACAATGCAAAATAAAATGTAATTGTTTACAATAGAATTAGGGTGTTGAATGGTTAAGGGAAACCTAAGATACAAAATCATTCAGAGGGTTTTTAGAACCATTAAGAAACATATTTTTTTTTTTTACCAAACAAGATTCACCTCTTAGCGATTCAGATGTTGTCTCTTAATGAAACTATTAAGAGGTAAACAGACAGTCTCTGAGACAATTGTAAATGAAAAAAAATAGTTGTAGTTCATTTGACAAGACTTTGTTATTTTATAACTGAGGTCTTGAGTTCAATTCTTTTGGTGTATATTTGTTTGTTTTTATTTTTTAAATATAAAAAACTAAAATTTGTTGTCAAAAAAGATTTGAATCTATGACCTCAGGGAAGACAAGTAGTGCCCCAATCATTCTAACAACCTTACACACTTTAAAATTAAGCGGATGGACGATCATGACCGATAAAAAAATTTCCATTATGATGGGACGATCGAGCAAGTGCCCGTGCATCCCCTACTCTATGAGTAGGTCCGCCCTGAAAACCCATTTATTATATATTGTTTATTATTATTTTTAAAAAATTTAAGTTCATAATTTATTATTATATATTTACAATTTCTTTGAAGTTTCATATTTAAATTTTTTAAAACCAACTGAAAAATAAATTCATGTACAAAATAAGCGTTATACCCTATTAATACCGTAAAATACTTTATAAATTTCGAATTCCATTTTTAATTGGGAATTTATTAATTTTCTACTATCAATTTATAACAATTTTTTACATTCCACTGCATTGCTTATGTATATATAGGGACTGTGATTTGCCTCGACCAGGTGGGGAACCCGGTTCACTCGACCTGAACGGGGACGAGGATTCCTCGCTAAAACGGGTCACAGGGCCGAGGCCTGGGGATGTTACTCAAACCGGAGCCGGGGATCCCCGGTAGAATCAAACTAATAGATATTTTTCATGGGGTTTGACCGTGGATTGACCGGGGTTTGGCCGGGAATTGATAGAGATTGGATCGGGGACGAGATGTTAATCCCCGTACCCGTCAGGACCGGGATCAGGGCTGGGGGGATGTTACTACAAACTGGGGCAACAACCGGGGATTACAAAACCTGCTACATCCCGACCCCATTGCCATGCCTATGTATATAGCCAATACATGTGTGTTGTGTGTGTACACACACACACACACATATATATGTATATGTATATGTATATGTATATATAAATTTACGATGATACCATACACTTAAAAAATGTTACTTTTTTATATGCAAGTAGAAAATCATATATCAAAAATCATGAAATAATGGAAAAACTATCAGATGTAGCCTATTGATAGCTGTCACAAAGAGGGATCCGACATTCACCAAATCGACATATTTGAAATCAATAACTATGACTAGATTTAGCATTTGGGAACTTGGTGCAACTAGGACCACTTGACATTTCAACATCGAGCGACAACCACAGTGATATAGCTTAAAATTTTGGAATCATGGTTGGTGGATAACTCAGTGAGTCAAACTTTTTTGTCGCATATATGATTATCACACCTTCATAAGAATGACCACAACAACGATGTTTCAAACGGGTTTATGATGAAAAAAACCCTACAAAGATATCGTCACAAGCGAGTGTTGTAAGATGACTGTGATGGCTGATCCATTAACAATCAACCGTAATGGCCGACAAAGCCTTTGTGGCCAATTCACATGTGATGACTCAGATGGATATGTCGTCATGCATAACCTGATCCAAAATCCACGGTTATCGCAAAAAATTGTATATTTTGATTTTGGTATTTCTACAATTTTAATTTACTGCAATATAAAAAAGGTTTTAATTCATAGTTTTTTAAAATAAAAGGTTTTAAATTGTAGTATTTAAAAAATATAATAAAATAAAAAATGAATTTGATTTAATTTTAATATAATCGTAGGGTTTTTTTTTTATCAAAATAATCAAATAATATCCAATATATTAATAAAATAGCCATTTTTCTTTCATGTTTTACCAAATTAACAACACAGATCACCTCCGGGGACATATTTGACCATGAAGGACAATCCAATCCTCTTCGACCATGAGGGCGATCGAGTCCTTTTTGGTCATTTTGATGAAATTCCCTTTAATTTTTATTGGGATGTTTATATTTGGAAATAAATGGAAAGTGCAGGCACACGGCAGGGAGGAGGGGCCCAGAGCCACTCTTGCATAGCATAAGCCAATCACTATTCGACACGTCTTCGTCATATGTGGGTCCCATCAACCACATTACACTTTCTCTCTCTTGCCCGACTCAGCACTGCCCGTATCCTTCGGGCACCTTCATAATCATTTCAACTTTTTTTTATATATATTATATTATCTATACTATATTATAAAACATTTGATAAATATTTTTAAAAACTATTTTTTATCTATGAAATACTGTATATTGATTCATATTATTTAAAATTCAAAATTACAAGTAAATTATGCATAAGTACAACTCATTAAAGCTTCATATTTGAATTCGTGTAATTAACTACGGATAAACATAACTAAATAGAAAATAAATATCTTATTTTAAAATATAAAAAATCTAAAGGATAATTATCGAGTTCTAACAAAACAATTAATTATTATTTTTATAAGAAAATTATATTATTAAACCAAATATAAATTACTTCATTATTGAACATAAATTAAATTATAATAAAAAAATTGAATTAAAAACTTACACAAAAAATGATGAATTTTAAATAGTTAATTTGATATGATAAATTAAGGGTCTGGTTGATCTGTTGAACATGTAACAGATAAATTAAGGGTCTCTATCAAACTTTTGGTTTGATTTGCCATATTTGATTTAAACTTTAATATTGATACAGATTGATTGGATATAAAAATCTTGAATGGATATTTAATATTTAATTTTATTGTATCAATTAATTTTTTTTATTAAATTGATTTTTTTATTGCATTAGTAAAAAACAAATTTTATTGTGGTAATTTGAATTTTTTTAAAAAAAATCTTCAATTTGATATCTAAATTAAAAAAAACGAGATTTGAAATGAAAAATAGATTTTATTGCATTGATTTTTGAAAAAAAAAGAATTTTAGTTATTTTTTTATAATTATTTTGTAATTTTAAATATGACGTGAAATATTAGTTTTAAAATAAAAAATTAATATGACGTGAAATATCTTAGTTGACAAAAAATCTAGATGATATCAGTATTAACAGGTCAACCAGACATTTAAATAAACAAAAAGCTTGATAGAGTTCCTTAAATGACGATTTTGAAAGTTGATTCCCCAAAATAAGAATCAGATGAAAGTTGGTTTCATTTTAGTGCAATTTTCTCTTTTAACAATGATTTCAAATTCCGAGAAGGTTAATTATGTCTTAATTGTATGTTATTAGATAATTATTAATGCAAACTTAATTATTAAATTATGGAACGATTTCCATGTCTCTTTTCTATCTTTCTCTACCTCCACCTCCACCTCCACCTCCACCTTGGTATCATTATTTATTATATTTTATTAAGACAGATTTGGAGTATTCAGTCTTTTGATGAGATTGTAATGCCTTTTGGGAATGCTACACACAAACCAGATGGTGGGTGCTTTTGAACTGAGATCACATTTCATACAAAACTTGCATTCTCTGGGTCTCTTCCTCTTTCATCCCAATCTTTTCTTCACATTTTGAAGCAATTTTGCCTTCTTGTTTCAAAATTCCTAACTGGGTCTGTTAGGTTTTCTGTTTGTTAATTTAAAATTCCAAACTTGGTTCTTCTTTTAGAGAATCTTTTGTTGTAGTTGTAATCTCTTCATTTTACCCCAAGATTTCTCATCTGGGGTTTGCTGCTTGTATCTGTTTCTTGGTTTTCAATCGTATTAAGCTCCTCTGAAGTTGGGAAACTTTGGATTTTCAGTGGGTTCAAATTTGGGGGTTTTGATGATAAGTTTGGTTTTAGGGTTAGATGTGATCTGTTGATGAAGAATGTGTACGAAGTTGGAATCTTTTCAGCTGGGATTTGTTAATAGCATCTTTTTCTTGGCTTTCAATCACTAAAAAGTGGCACATTTTGGGTGTTTGTGGGTTCAAATTTGGGGGTTTTGATGAGATCGAGTGATTTGGTTTTAGGGTTTGCTGTGAAAGATGAAAATTGTGTATGAATTTTAATTCCATCTTTTTCTTGGCTTTCAATCACTAAAAGTGGGACATTTTGGGTTCAAATTTGGAGGGTTTTTGATGAGACCAAGTGATTTGATTTTAGGGTTTGTTGTGAAAGATGAAATCTGAGGATGAGAAATGTGTGAAGTTGGAATCTGGGCAGAACAAGAAGAAACAGAGAAGTGATGAAATAGTTGTGGATGAAGGGGGTACCACTGGTTGTTGGAACAGGTGGAGGTTGATTGGTAGCTGTGTTTCTTCAAGATCTAAAGTTGATAGCTCCATCAGTGGCATAAGCACTCATTGTGGTAAATCAATCCTTCCATTTGTCTAGTGTGATTTCCTAATAACTCACTTTCTATATCTATATCGTTAAGCCACTACCAAACAGTCATGTATATCTGACCCAATAAGCTGTGAGTCTCAATAAGCTGGTAACAAACAGGCCTTAGTACCCGGTTTGTGCTTACCGGGTAAGACTTAAGAGACGCTTACAAACAATCCATTTTGATGGTTGAGAATGTTACCCGACAAGGTAAGTGATGGTGGTGACTCTTGCTGGTAAGCGCTTACCCAATAAGCATTTGGTAAACATCCCCTTAGATTGTACTTTGGTGGATCAATGAGGTTGGTGCTAAGGCCAATGTTGATGAGGGGTATACGATGACATGATGATGAATGTTAAAATTCACGCTTTGTTAGTCGTGAGTTTCAAACTCACAACTGATGGTTTAAGAGACTCGGTTAGTACCAGTTGAGCCAACGACAATTAGTTCAATGTGTATGCATTTGTTTTTCTTTTGTGTATGTAGGAGAGGGAATCAAACTCTTTATTCACGATATGCGTTGTTAAGGCCATTGATGAGGGTCATAAGGCCTGGACAAAACGAAATTATCAATTATATTTCGTACAGATGAATGGTTATTAAGGTGTCCCTCAGTTTTTCATTTTTTTGGGAGTTTTTCCCTTGAACCTCACCTATATATATATATTATTGTGCTCGTTCTGTGGATTACGTGCTACATAAACCAAACGTATGCAGTATCACCGTTGGAAATAGATATTGCCTAGAGTTGACTTTCATCAACTGTTTTTTGTTACGACAGTGGAAAGTAAATTAACAAATGATACTAGCAAAGATCAACCTGTAGTTCCGATAGTCTCGTCAACTACTAGTAACGGAGAAAGCAACCCGTCCACCCCAAAACCGGAAGATGAACTCAAAGTTGGTTCTAGTCTTCGCAAATTTGGTTTCAACGATCTCAAATTGGCTACAAGGAACTTCAGACCCGAAAGTCTTCTTGGTGAAGGGGGTTTTGGTTGCGTTTTTAAAGGGTGGATCGAAGAGAACGGAACTGCACCAGTGAAACCGGGCACCGGACTTACTGTTGCTGTGAAAACCCTAAATCATGACGGGCTTCAGGGTCATAAAGAATGGCTGGTTTGATGCTTTCTATCGATCTTTTTGTTTATCTGTACTTCTTGGCTTCTATATCTTATGATTTAGTGTTCTAATAGAGTTTTATGTCATCCACAGGCTGAAGTAAATTACCTAAGTGACCTTATTCATCCGAATTTGGTTAAATTGATCGGTTATTGCATTGAAGATGATCAACGGCTGCTTGTTTACGAGTTCATGCCTCGAGGGAGCTTGGAGAATCACTTGTTTAGGAGTAAGTTTACATACACAAAACTTGATTAGGAAACTGGGTTTCTGCCAATAGCTTGACATGTGGCATATTCATTGGGATATGGAGGTGTTATTAATCATGAATGCTGTTACATATTCATCATCAATGTTGTAACATATTCATCTAGAATGTTGTAACACATTTGTCGTGAATGTTGTAACATATTCATTATGAATGTGTGATTCATAATAAACAACATGTGCATATTCATCATGAATGAGTGATTCATGATGAATAATCATTATGAAACTGCTTACATATTCACTCATTCATGATGAATAATCATCATGAAACTGCTTACATATTCATCATCAATGTTGTAACATATTCATCCAAAATGTTTACGCATTCATCGTGGATGTTGTAACATATTCATTATGAATGTGTGATTCATAATAAATAATACGTGCATATTCATCATGAATGAGTGATTCCTGATGACTAATCATCGTGAATGTGTGATTCATGATGAATATTCATCATGAATGAGTGATTCATGATGAATAATCATCGTGAATGAGTGATTCATGATGAATAATCATCGTGAATGTGTGATTCATGATGAGTATTCATCGTGAAGAGGGACACATGGCACGCTCTGGGCGGTTCTTAGGTTCGTAATCATTTTTGGGTTCCTAAAGGAACTTTCCTCCGCATGTATATACCTGTAACAACCTGTCCTACATGGATAGGAAATTAGATTATTGGGTCAACCTGCTGCTTTGCCGAATGGGCGTTAAAATACCAAATACAATAGTTTCGGTTTCTAATGTAAGTCTATATTTATCGTAGGATCTTTGCCTCTTCCATGGTCGATCAGGATGAAAATTGCTCTCGGCGCTGCAAAGGGCCTCGCTTTCCTTCACGAGGAAGCAGAAAGACCCGTGATTTATCGTGATTTCAAAACCTCCAACATTTTGTTGGATGCGGTATGTGACACAAGATTCGTTAAGCTACAAACGTTCTTGAAACTTTTGCTTTTGGGTTCATCGTGTTCATAAAGATTCGTTTTGTTTTTCTTCTTTTTCTTTCAGGAATACAATTCGAAACTTTCGGACTTTGGTCTTGCTAAAGATGGTCCGGAGGGAGATAAAACTCATGTATCGACTCGAGTTATGGGAACGTATGGTTACGCGGCCCCTGAATATGTGATGACGGGTTCGTCTTTTAATCTAATCTCTAAACTACATTACTGCTTATTCTCTTTGTTCTTTGGGAAAAGACAAAACTACCCCTTCGATGTCCCCAACCCAATCCCCCGAACTGCATCGGGAAGCACTCGGTACCCACCACAACAAAACTGGCTTTATAGGATGCAAAAATGCCTAAATGTCCTAATAGGTTCCTTTATACTACAAAAGTTTATAGGACCACATAGTTTCGCGTCTTATATAAAGGTGTTAAAATAGACGTCAGGACACATTTGGTCGTCCTAACAAGTTTTTTATGAAACTTTTGAAATAAAGTGTCATTTTAGTCTTTTTGGGGTGCGTTTGGTATCCAGACAGAATAGAACAGAACCGGACCGAACAACTGGTGAGCGTTTGGTAGGATAGAACTAGACATGACAGAGCAGGTGAAATGATCAATTTACCCTTATTGAGTTGTTTATATATTTCGACTAATTTATGCAATTTACTAAATTATAATAATAATATATTTTATAACATAATATATCATTAGAAGGTCACCAAAATAAAAAGTGTTTGTAGTTTCCAATTTTTATTTTATACTCTTTCTATATTTAATAAATTACATAAATTAATCAAAATTAGAAACCATAGAAAAGTGATATTTTTAGGACAGTAAATTGAAAGTTTAAAGAGTATAAAATACAATAAATAAAATTTAAAAAATGAATAAAATGTAAATAGGGTGGCATATTTGATGTTTTAGAAGATAGTTAGGTTTTATTTTAAGGTTATATTGGTAAAATATAAGTTTGTTCCTTTTTGTTCCACATAAAAGTTTTGCCAACATGGAACAGTGATCTAAGTTCTATTCTGTCATGTTCAATGTACCAAACGCATCCATAAAGCCAATTTTGTTTCAGTTCGGCACATTTTGCTTGAAGAAGTGATATTTGAACCTTATTTTTTGAGTCTGTTTCTTCTCTTTAGGACATCTTACTTCAAGGAGTGACGTATATAGCTTTGGTGTTGTTTTACTCGAAATTTTGACGGGTCGAAGGTCAATGGACAAAAACCGTCCAAACGGCGAACACAACCTTGTAGAATGGGCTCGACCACATTTAGGAGATAGGAGGCGGTTTTATCGGTTGATAGACCCTCGGTTAGAAGGTCATTTCTCGATAAAAGGAGCCCAAAAAGCCGCACAACTAGCAGCTCGTTGCCTTAACCGTGACTCAAAAACCAGGCCTCTGATGAGTGAAGTTGTTGAATCGCTAAAACCGTTGCCAGTCCTAAAGGACATGGCGAGCTCGTCGTATTACTTCCAAACCGTTCAAGCTGAACGGGTTGGGTCGAGCCCGAGTGCACAAAATGGGGCTCGGGCCCAAGCCGGATTGTTTTCGAAAAACGGGGTGCAGCATCCGCGGAGCCTATCGATACCCAACGGTTCTCATGCTTCTCCTTATCACCAGAAGTTTAACTTGAATTCACCAAAGCCGATTGAGAACAAGAAGCAATAGCAGTTGGAAAATCATCGTCACTTTTTTTTTCTTTTTTCCTTTTAATTTAATTTTCTAAGTAATATAAATATATTGTTGGCTTGTTTGCCGTTTTAAATCCGACAACAAAACAAGACGAACTGATTATTTATAACAAATTAAATTTGATTGGTTTGTTGTACATTAAAATTTAGGTCATGGGTCCGTTATTGTTTGGTGAGAAATGGAACAAATCGTTCATTTATATATGATTTTGTATTTTCAAAACTAAATTTTAATGAGATAGTGCAAAAGTGGGACCGAAAGAATGAACAAACAAATGTTGCACCGAGTTCGACTAGAAAAGTTGACATGAACGAGAAGGATGGTGTTTAATTGATTTGAGCTTGGACTTTAAAGGTCAAAAGTGTCTAGAGGTCTTAGGTTCAAATTCAAAGGAGAAATAAGAAATCTTTTATAGTCACAGAGGTCCAAATGTGGTGACTTCGGGCTACCCAAGAAGCGTGTGATCGTCCTGAGATTAATCGGCTTGCATAGCTGGTTGGATATCCAGGTAAATTAAAAAAAATCACATGATGATAACCAAACATATCGGCTGAGTAAAAGTTGTCAATTACATTTAGTTACAAACGATCAAGTTGTACTTCATTCTAATCACTCGGTTTTTTTACGCTACAATGCTTCATTCTAATCACTCGGTTTCTTTACGCTACACCTTTCCTAGTTACCTGATCCTTCGATGTGCTCTCGAATATTTTGTCCGCATTACCGACCTCAAATCCATCGCGTCTATGGATCTCCTCAATCTACACACGTTTCAAAACCAATCATCGTTATATTGTTTTTCAAGCGTATAATATCTATATATAAATGATATTTTTGGTGATGTTTGAATCGTTAACCAGACTAACTACTACTACTAGACCAACGACCATTTGGAACCATCGTTATTCAAAGAAAATGGACTTTAGAAAGGGATTTCGAATGTTAACCTTATCTTCAGGTAAATATCTGTATTCTGGCAATACAAGTCGTTCAGCAAACTCGATATATGAACAAGGGACCGAGTCTTTGACACCATCGGAAAATTCAAACGGGATAGAATCTGCAACCGTCGAACTTTGCAGCAGTAGGGCATCTGGGCTCACTGGGAGAACACAATCATCGAAACCGAGTTATTTGATTTAGGATAATAGTTGATGAATAACGGGTTTGAGTTTGAATCAGAAAAACAAAAACCAACCCTTGAGAACACCCCCTTCAGAGTTCAACTTGAACCCGTTGTCCTCGATGAACCGGTTAAGATTCTTGATGTTCTTCAAGCAAGATTTCAGCCGATGAGTGGAGATCGTGACATGATTCACCGAGTATCCGTTCACGAGAGTCCATGCAGCGTACTCGCTTTCGCTGGAAATCAAACATCACGAAAACTATTTTAGATGTAAGAAACTACGATCCACCAAAGAATCTTTGGCCTAACAGTATCTGGATTACTGGTACGATCCCAACTTCCCTGGAGGTCAAAGGTTCATACCTCATCAAATGTGACAAAATGTGAGTATTTGTCATATATCATATATATTTCAGGAAAAATTTACGGTAAGGAAATGAATCCACGAGCCACGCAAAGACGAAAACGCACCTAGCTAATTGTTGGAACTCCGAATGCGAAGGTTTTGGCCATGGCAAACAACCAACCGCACTTGAAACCACAGCATGTTTATATCCGGCACCCGATAGCTCTACGTATTTTCTAATTATTTCCTGGACGCAGAAATATACGCAATAATGAACATGAGTTTCATTAGAACGTATAATATTAATCGCTTATATTCAACGCAAAAATTATGCTCGGTTTATGACTTTAACAAATAGACGCTATAACAAATCGGTTTTACATGACGTCAAATTATATTTAAATGTCCTAATAGACTGCTTCATAATATAACTTAAGTTTATAAGACCAAACAATTGTATATTCTATATAATGTGTTACAATAAGTTGATAACAATTACTTACAACAATAAAACGTTTTATTAATCTTTTGTATTAAAATTATTTAAAAAATAATTTATTAAAACAACTATTTTATAAAAAGATGTGTTTCATGTATGGGTTCTGAAAATGGTCCTATAAAAAAACTAGAGTAAATTACTTTTTTCGTCCTTATAGTTTGTTAAAAATTATGATTTTTGTCCCTATGATTTAAAAATTATGGTTTTCATTTATATGGTTTGTAATTCATTGTTATTTTTATACTTATGATTTACAACTTATTATTGTTTTGGCCCCTATGGTTCACAATTATTTACTATTTTCGTCTTTTGTACTTATAGAAATTAGTTCAAGGACGAAACTAGCAAGAAATTACAAACCATAGGGACAAAAATTGGAATTTATAAACTATAAAGACAAAAATAGCACTTTTTAACAAACCACAAGGACTAAAAACATAATTTACTCAAAAAAAAACTAATAAGATACTTCAAGTGTCTAACACAACTCAAATACACCATAACATCCTATTGAAAATATTTATTAAACTTACACACGATTGTTCTTAGAAGTAGAAAGTTACCAGGGGTTTATATTATAGGAAACATCAGCAAAAAAACTGCAAGTCAACACCGCAAGACACTTTTTCTAATGATTTCGCAAGGTACCAAATGGGCTTGTAGTTTTGCAGTTTTCGACTTTGGCTTGTTTTTTGTGATGGAAATTTGTAGGTTGGAAGTTAACCTTCTATCCCACATTGGTAGAGAGTTGATTTCTAGAAAAGCTTATAAGGCTTTCTCTAGAAATGGGCTTTCAACTTGTTAGTGGACTCATGGTGGGGGTCTTGAGTAGAAGGCCCAACACACACGCGTGTGCGTGGCTGTGGCCGAGGACGCGGGATTCGCATGCCGCATCGGAGCATAAGGAGCCTCGCTCCGAGTATCTTTTTAATAGTAATTCGTTAGGAGGATTATCAGTTTAATTTGGATAATTATTAATTTTAATTTGAATTTAATCCGATTTTTGACTTGGTTTTAGAGATAAAATTCGGTTGAGACTTTGTCTCACCACTATCTCCGATTTTTAGGAGATAATCGTGGCTCATTCTAAGGTTTTAGGAGAATTTCATTAGAGAGGAAATCGATTTTTTTCCTGTGTATAAAGAGACGGCTTCACCCAGTATTTATATTGGGTGAAACCCTAAAATGAGCCACGATTATCTCCTAAAAATCGGAGATAGTGGTGAGACAAAGTCTCAACCGAATTTATCTCTAAAACCAAGTCAAAAATCGGATTAAATTCAAATTAATAATTATCCAAATTAAACTGATAATCCTCCTGACGAATTACTATTAAAAAGATATTCAGAGCGAGGCTCCTTCTGCTTCGAAGCGGCGTGCGAAGTGCGCCACCTTCGCGAATCCCGCGTCCTTGGCCACGCACGCGCGTGTGTGTTGGCCTTCCACTCAAGACCCCACCATGAGTCCACTAACAAGTTCAAAGCCCACTTGTAGAGAAAACCTTATAAGCTTTTCTAGAAATCAACTCTCTACCAACGTGCAATGGAAGGTTAACTTCCAACCTATAAATTTCCAACATTTTGTGCATAGATATAAGGGGCTACATTACCGCAACTTGTGGTTTTTAATGGTTTTTAGAGTGGGTCCAAATTTTCATTAGATGTATTAGATTATGTTTAAAACCGCAAGAAAAAGTGTCTTTAAGATGTTGATTCGTTGTTTCCTCATCATTTTACGAGATGGCTATAAAGTGAATGTTTTTAGTTATTTTTATCAAGATGGCCATTTGAGATTATAACTCAAAAAACTCGAACGGCTCAGATTTAATATTTAGAAATATTTGACATAACGTAAAGTAAAGTTGATTTTTCTGCAATAGATCATCATGAACACAATGATTATGAAATTTTAACCCAAACCTGGGCCTGGACACTCATTTGATCTACGATAAGCTCTGAGATGAAGATTCTGGGCAAGGGTCCATGAACACCGCTGCCACTGCCGCCATTAATAGCGGAGACACTTGGAGGAGAAAACCAGAGAGCTTTCAGCTTCTTTTGTGGAAATCTCAACTCTTCCTGTTGAGTATAACCAAAATCCAGAAAGAATTTCGACACAGAGTCGATCCCGTAATCATTTACCTATATTATGAAACAGAAATCACTATTATACATCTTCGTAGATTCTTAAAATTACCCCCAAATAAGCCACGATTTGAACAAAAAATTTACCCCAAATGTTCGATAGGCAAGATGATCGTAGCAAATTTGATTAACATCTGTAGATCTAACAAGCTCCAAGATCGATTTAGCAGTTGGATTTTTACTCAAATATACTTGTTCCATACTCGAAATCACGTTCCTAAAGAATGAATCACCAACCTGATCGATAAACAGAATTATTATCACCATAACTTGATGCCAAATAAATCGATACAAAAGCGAATCATATATATAGATCTGTTGGTTATGTATGTATCCTGATACTACTAGTTTCTGTAAGTTAACTTCTGTACACAGAAATTAGGGGAAGAAGAAGAGAAACAAAATTCAAAACCACATAAACAAATTAGAATGTAGAAATGAAGGAATTGTGCATACCTTCGATGGTGATTGGTGAGTGGATTTAGAAGCGGAAACGATCGAGAATTTGGATAGGGTTTTAGCGGAATGATTCATGGTTGATGGGGGAAGAAATTTGACAGAAACGAAGGTTGATGATGGGGGATTAACGGAGGATGAGAATGAAGAACCGAAAATTGGAGATGATGATGATGATGATGATGATGAGGGAATTGTGATCATCTTCTTCAAGAATCAAAAGGTTTTTGGTGAATTTGATGAGGATGAGAATGGTTTTGATTTGGAATTTCACAAGTTCCGTGACGTACAGGAATCCTGGTGTACGAGGATAGATGTGCCATGCTGTTTACAGCGTGCCACTCATATCATTTGTTTAATATATTTTAAAAAATATTCATGAGTGTTTGAAATTGGTTAATTGAAACATATTATCTTTTTTTACAAAAATACTTATTAATTTATTATAAGTTAGAGTTTAACTTTTTTAAAAACTCCTTACCGGTTTGACACCGGTATAACTTGTTTATTCAAACACTCAAAAAGTGTTTATTACCGGTGACACATCGGAATAAGTCAATAAGTTGTTTTTACAAGCAATCCCAAACACCCTATCAATTTTAGCAGGTTATTATTTCATAGATTATAACATTAATTATATTATTAAAATATTTTGTTTATGTAAGACGAGATCATGTAAAGATAAGAGTTATAGTGAAAATGATGAAAATGCTTTTAAATATCTGGATGAAGTTGACTTTTTAATTTAATTTAATTTTTTTCAACTACATTTGGCTTCGCTTTTATGTATTTATATATATATATATATATATAATCATTTTCACATGCAAGAATTTATTAAAATTTCAGTCATAATGATAAAAATAGGTAAATAAAAGCAGCTGAATATATATAAAGATTTTTATCTCACTTTCTCCCTCTTATTCATTTCAAAACCCAATCCATATATGTAATAAAATAATATTTCTCTCACAAACATTTAATGTCAAGATTTTTTATTGATGAGAATATAATAAACTATCTGGTTTGAGTTTATAACAAAACAGTTTGACTTTTAGGAAAAAAGTCAACTGCTTTATACGCAAACTTGGTTCTCTTTTCAAAAGCATGTTTGGATTATATATTTCAACTTAGATACATCTTATATCGTCTTAGGGGCCGTTTACCAATCACTTACCCAATAAGTGTTTACCAGTAAAATTTAACACTATTATTTACTTATCGAGTAAGATTTTAGTCTACCCGGTAAGCTCTTACCGTGGTAAGAGTCGTCGCCCTCACTTACTGGGTAAGACTCATGAACCTTGTCTCGCTCTTACCGGGTAAGATTCTTGGTCATTACCATATTCATCCGGTGAGGTAATGCGACTTGGTAAGTGCTTACCTAAGTAAGTGTTTGATAAACGGGCCCTTAGTGTTCCCATGAAACTAATTACATCAAATATATTCACTTTTTTATATCAATTTCAATTTATGAACCCTATAATGTGTTACATTGTGTCTTAAGGTTGAAGACAACAAATTGGAAATCCAAATAAGGTCATAATCTACTCAATCAAGTCAAAATAACGCACTAAACTTAAGTATAAAATCAACTGAAACTTAGGGTCCATTTACCCAAATGCTTACCCGATAAGCGCTTCCCATTAAGAGTCAACACTGTAATTTATTTTATTAGGTAATATTGTAGTACATCAAAACGTATCTTATGCAACAATTTACCTGGTAAGCGTTTACCCGCGTAAGAGTCGTCACCCTCACTTACCGGGTAAGACTCTGCATTCTTATCATCCCTCTTACCGGTAAGATTATTGCCCCTTGCCATATTCATTTGATAAGGAAAATTGCTCAGTAAGTACTTACCCCTTAGTTATGTAAACATAGCTCAATTTTAGCATGATGTTCGAGTTTTAAACCCTTAATCGAGTTACTCTTCACCTCATAAACCAGAAACACCTTCTTTCTTCTATTTGGATGCTAAAACTCAACCTATGCTTGATATAGCATCCTTTGGTTTCATGATTTATGTGTTCTTTAGCCCTAAATCGGCCATAGCTGCTTTCTCCCTCTTTCTTCCGTATTCTCATCCTTTTTCTTATAACAAGAACCTCCTTTGTATATAGTTTTAACAAGAACCTCATTTTTGTAGGTCTCATTGATTCTTTCAGGATCAATCATTATCAATGGAAGATCCAGGAAATTAATGGGGTGGGGGCACGTTGGATGTGACTTGGAGAAGAGTAAGCATATGGTCATATGAGACTGTGGAGAACCCATGTAAGACGAGAGTAAAAAATAGAAAATTTAAGTTAGTCAACAAAAGTTTTGGTTTTTAACTGGATCCGTCTCTGATCAGTATTATATTGGTAATTATAGAGTCAAGAAAATAAAAATAAAAAATAAGGAAAATGTCACTTCTCACAAACTTCATGGTAAGAACCAAGATTCTTGTTCAAGCATTTAGAAGACATGAGGTTCTTATAAGAACCTCTCCACAATGGTAATTCTTACAAGCGACTACACTTTTTGATAATAATAACTTTGTATTGGAGATGCTCTTAACGTCCATAAATACGACCACTACAACTGCACTCTTAAAATTTAGATATTAACGAGTCGTATACCGAAACAATTTTACGGTTAGTTACCTTAACGTATAAGATTCTAATTCATCATAATTACATTGTAATATAACAATTTACTAGATACATGTTAACCAGATAAGAGTTGTCACCCTCATTTACCGGATAAGACTGTTAGTCATTTATCAATTTGTCATTGCTTTTACCTGGTAAGATTCTCGATCTTTGTCATATTTATCTGATAAAGTAAATGACCCAGTACACGTTTACTGGATAAACATTTGGTAAATGGTTTTAAGTGTATTTTCGTTAATTTTTCCTATAAAATTCGTGTCAAGTGTGCCCTCTTTAATAAATTGCATAAATTGCATAAATTGATCAAAATATATAAAATATATAAAACAATTTATTAAGGGTAAATTGATTATTTTATCTATTATGTTTTGCCCAGATTTATCTTACCAAATGCTAAACAACTCTTCTGTCATGTTCTGTTTTGAATGCCTGGATACCAAACGCACCATTAAAAAAGAAAAAAACAATTGCCTGAGTCAACTCAGTCGGCACATGTAAACAAGGATGGCAACCACGTGTGCATTTACTTTTTGAGTCCAGGTTCAAACGGGAGCACACTATAATTAAAAAATAAACATAAAAATAAATTTCAGATGTAAAATAAGATGATTTGACGATTACTGATTAAAAGATTGTTACAAACACCTCTTTGTTATAACAAAAAAATGCTCTGATTTTTAATCGGTCACCCAAATACAACTAAAAATGAAACTAAACAAACTATACCAGAAAAAACAAGTATTTTATTCAGTTTAATTTGACATCCATGTTGTTACATTTTTTTTCATGACACACTAAATGATAAGAGATTATAGAAAAAAAAGCATGCTCTTTTCAGTACATTTTATATTGTTATCGTGTTTTCTTACTTTATGGATGTTTTTGTTTGAACATTCTTCTCTTCGGTATATTTGTCTATTGAAGTAAGGTAAAGAAACAGTTTTCATACTAACAAACGTAAAAACAAAATTTAAAATAAAACATATATTGTTATTAATTAAAATTTTTGACGTGATGATTGTATTTATTCATTTCTTATCGACTCGGTCATTTAACAGTTGAGGTGGATATATCTTAAAGAGTGTTGTATAATAACTTTTAAATTTGATTTGGATTCATGTAAAAATTCATGTGGTTAATATATTTTTACTATATTATAAATTATTCGACAAAAACAATTAATTATGTATTATATACCGCAAAGCTATATGATATGTGCTTGAGCATCTCCAACTTTATGGTAAGGCATGGCAACGGGATGGGGATGAGGGGTTTTGTAATCCACAGCTCCGGCCCGGGTTTTTAGTAACAGTCCCTGTCCCTGGTCCCCGATGGGTACGGGGATTAACATCCCGTCCCCGGTTTGAGTCTACTTGAGATCCCCGGCCTGATACATGCTTTAGTGGGGAATCATTGTTCACGTTCGAGTCGGGTGAACCAGTTCCCTACCAGATTGGGGCAAATCAACTCATTATATTATAGAAAGTCAAACTATTTTTTTTCTTCATCCTCATTGATTACTGCTTAATACCTAGCACTTTCTTAAAGTTTATTGGATTTTTCATATATTTAAACTACATAAAATTAATTTTTTAAATGTATCGCGGACTATGTCGTTTTTCTTTATCGTGGTCCATGATTTAAGGGGGTGTTTGGGTTTGTTTATTTGAAACAACTTATGTTTTTTTATAAAATCACTTATCAACTTATTATAAGTCAGAAAAGTTTAACGTTTTCAAAAACCCCTTATTATCAGTTTAACACCGGTATAAGTTGTTAATCCAAACACTCAAAATACTTATTAATAATGTCACACAAAAATAAGTTAATAAATTATTTTTATAAACAATCTCAAACACCCCCTTAAAACCGGGTCAATTAAGTGGCACGTGACAAGTGTGACCCTTTCGTCTACGTAAAGTGGTAGCACGTGGATTTTTTGAAAAATTTAGTAAATTGATGGACTAAATTGAAACGGGTATTTACACTTCCGCTTTCCGAAATTTACAAGCAAACTTTCCCCGATCACGTGCAGGTTATAAGAAATAATTCCAAATTTACAATTAACCCCCTCCGGTTAAAAGAATTACATAAACGTCACTTGAGTTTTCAGATTTTAAGGTGGTATATGCTTGCGTACAAATTTGTGTATTCCATGCAGGGGTGTTCATCCAAACCGTCTAACCAAACAAACCGCCACTATCACATGGCACTGCACCGCAAAGTGTGATTTAGAAACGCACAGTGCGGTTTGGGGTTTACATTTTTATTAAACCACATTATGCGACGATTTGCGGTTTTGAGTTATCAAACTTCGGTTCAAACTACACTCCATTGATATGTTATATAATTTTAATTTTATCATATGTATATATATATATATATATATTATATAGAATAGTTATTGATTTATATAATATTTTTGACTTTGTGTTATTTTTTTTTACTTAGACTATATTTGAGTATGCAATATGTATTTAGAATCGGATATATTGGAGCTCTTTATTTTTTGGACTACGGGCACGTTATCGTTGATGTTATGTATTTTCAAACTTATAATAATTGGATTATAGACATAAAATGTGATAGGTACAAATTGCATAAATCACACCGAAATTTTTTTAAGATTTGAGGTTTATACAATACGGATTGACTGTTCCTAGAGAAATTATGTTTACTACATTAATTACTTACACAACACACACACACACACACACACACACACACACATATATATATATATAGTCGCAGTTCATTTGAGAAGGGGTAAGTATTTAAGAAGTAGAGATGTGATACAAAACCCTTATTTGGTCAAGATTTACGGTTTTGACTCTGAAGCACCGGATAATTCTTTGCACAGTATGCAAAAGATAGAGGGGTATTTTTGTAACTTTTTATCAAATAGAAGGCAAAACAACTGCATATATGAACCCGTGTGATTCACATATGAAATATATGTTCACATGTGAATCTGTGTAATTCACATGCGAACTAATTAACTGATTCACATATGAACTAATTAACTTATTCACATATGAAATTGTGATATTCATATACGAATTAATTAATTGATTTCCAAAAACTGAAAAAATTACTCTAAAAACATATAAAAATCGGTCAAAATCAACTAAAAGAAGTCAAAAGATTCTTCGAAGTAGTAAAATTCGGATAAAAACACATTGAACGACTTTACAAACCTTTGATTCACCTTAAAAATATATCCGTTGAACAAAATCTCGAATCCACCATTGTTAATACATAAACACAACCCAATCTGACTTATACTTGAAAAATATCTATTCTTATTTATTATTCGACTCATTTCATTACTTCATTTTGTGGCTTTATGTCATTACTATTTGTGTTTTCCACTCACTAGGGAGTTATGATGTAGAAATTTAAAAGTTGGGGGTGTGAAGTGTAACATTTGCAGTGATATCAAAAGGAAGATTTTAATCATAACCGTCTCCAACGCAAATCAACCCCCCTACTCTAGATTTCCTCTCCGACCATGGCGACGGTCCCTCTTCAGGCTATTCTCCACCGTCATTATCGTCGGAAAACACCTAAGTTTCTAATGGAATCTGAAAAACATAAACGAGCTTCTTTGTATTACACCTGGAAGAGAAGGAATTGTTTGATCGCAAATGGCGCCAAACTCTGCAACTTCAGGCCTGCTAATTCTAGGGTTCTGAATATCACCGTTAGAGCGTCATCTAATAGCTCCGCCACTACATGCGACTCCGCTGACGTCATATTCCACAAAACATTTTCATTGCAACGTACCGAAAAGGTTAGTTACTCGATCGGTATACTATACATATACATATGTTTATTTGTGTACTTTTGTTGGATTAACTATTAGTCTATTAAGTGGAGAAAAAGTGTTGGATTAGAGGCGACAGTTGAGATCCTTGAAAGTTGCATTGTGCTCTTCGATGTACTGCAACTTCGTAACTATTTATATTATATTTTCCCTAGGTGGATGTAATGCGACTCCAAAAAAAGTCTTGTGGTCGGCGGTGTGAACGTTATAGAGTTGATCGGATCGACTCACAACGCAAATCCCTTGCTATAGGTTTTGTTATAGGCAGTGGATTGATAAGTGATATATAAACATGTTCAACCCGAAATACCTACATTTTGATTTTGACATCAATCTGGATTGATGAGTGATATAAACATGTTCAACTGGATTAATTAGTGATATAAACATGTTCAACTCGAAATACCCACTCTTTGATTTCAGCGTACTGGATTGATGAGTGATATAAACCCATTAAGCTTGTTAAGTCAATATCAAACGGCACCTAAGTGATCTATCTGTAATCATGCGTATTGTTTCGGTTGTCTTGTATATTCCTGTAATTAGCAGCTTGCTCTACGTTTACTTTTCATGGGGTATTAATTGTTCCACATCAATGTCAGGTAGAAGGAAAGATATTAGTCAGATTAGATTGTGGTAAGGATGAAGAGAATTTCCAGCTTGTTGTAGCATGCAATCTTCCAGGGAAATGGGTCCTTCACTGGGGAATTAATTATGTTAACGACATTGGCAGGTTTGCTAGCTTGATCATGTAGTGACTAGTGAGGTTTTTTCTTTTCTTCCATTTTCCTACAGTTTTTGCTTTGATTGTGAGTTTCAGTACCTTTAACATGCTTAAATACAAATTTAGATATTCATGTATAAATAATCTAATATAGAAGAGGCAATTGTATTCTTCTTGATTGGCCAATATGCTTATCTACTATGATCTTGATTATGATATCTCCTTAGTTAAAGTGTGTTACTTCATGTTTCTAGAATTTCCAGTGGTGCTGATCATGGTTTTCACTGTGGTATATTGGTTTAAGAACCTTTGTCATCTTTACAACATTGTGGTAATTTCCGTACTCTGTTATTCAATGTCCACAGTGATTGGGATCAGCCTCCTGTTGAGATGATACCTCTGGGCTCTGTTCCCATTAAGGTATTGAATTTGTCTGATTCATTTTTTTGTCGGTGCATTTTTATGGTTGGTCATAGTATTATGGATGGTGCATCGTCTTTTCAGGACTACGCAATAGATACCCCTTTGAAAAAATTGACAGATACTGAAGCAGGCTTCATATATGAAGTGAAGATCGATTTCAACACTAAAAGTTCAATTGCAGCTATAAATTTTGTGTTAAGGGTATTACTTTTAGTTGCTAACTGTTAAGAATTTCTATTTCCTATTTAGAAACTTTATTTTTTTTTTAAACCGTGGTATCCGACACTCTTTGGCCTGAGTAGTCCTCGAGGTTCATTACAAGTGTCTCCGCCACATAGGCGAATTTTAGGGATTCCAGCCAATGCGTGAGGTCCTAAAAAGAATTGATAGCATCTAAAAGGAATCGAACTTCAGACCTCATACCACGCTGGACACAAGGCCCCAGGGGATTGACTTCCAGGACAGCCCCTTTGGGGTTATATAAAAATTTGATACTTGAGCTTTGCAGTAATTTTATTATTTTTCATGCCTTTGGGAGATTTCCATTGATTCAGGATGAAGAAACTGGATCTTGCTATCAGCTCAAAGGGAGAGATTTTAAGGTGCCACTTACAAATTTATCTGATGATGATGGCAATAATATAGGAACTAAACAGGAATTTTCCATATGGCCAGGTTGTGTGAAATACTTTTATTCAATGCCAATTGCACATTGATCTTTAAATCAACCTTTTTTTTTCTTCTCATTTTTCATCTCCACATTTCTTACTTATAAGAACTAGCAACAAGCTGACTGATCGATCTATTTCAATTGAACCAGGGACTTTGGGACAGCTATCTAACATGTTGCTGAAATCAAATGGTGCTTCTGAGGATGGAAATAGAGATAGCAACTCAAAAGAATCTGCTCAGAAGAAGAGGGATCTTCGGAGTTTCTACGAGGAACATGACATTGTAAAACAAACTTTGGTTGACAACTCCATTAGTGTTTGCATAAAGAGATGTCCTGAGGCGGCTAATAATCTTCTACATATAGAGACAGATATTCCTGGTGATGTTGTTGTTCATTGGGGGGTCTGTAAGGATGCGAGTAAAAAGTGGGAAATTCCAACGGGATCATACCCAGCTAAAACATCAGCATATAAGACTAAGGCTTTGCAGACTCAGTTGCAGGTATCCTCTTCTCATTCATACTTGCACTGTTCTCAAATATGCAGAGTTAATGGCAGATTATGGGTGGTGATAGTATCTGCGCCCTTTACTTCATGTATGCGTATATAGTTGTATATGCTTACGTATTTGTGTGTTCCTTCTGCTTAAGAAAGTCAAAATGTTTCATCATTGTGCATAATCTTCTGTGTTTTTCATCTAATGAAACAAGGGTCAAAAGTTGATGAAGAGCCAATAATGTAATCTTCATTTGTTGTAGTACTAGAAAATTACCAGTCACTGGAGTTTTTTTTTTGGAAAGAGGACGGATTCCTCCGGCAAGATCATTGGAGTATTTTCTTAATTATGGTCGAACAGAGTTACATTACATGCTTCATATCTAGTCTGAAACCTGTGGAACAACTTAAGGCATGACCATGTGAACACTTTGCATTTAATGCAAAACCTAGCTAAACTTGAGGCGCACACAGGATTTTATTACTCTACTTATTTGCTATATGTTAATTGCTTGTTCTTTGCAGCAAAAAGAAGGTGGATGTGGCTGCTCTGGATTATTTCCACTTGATGAAGGAATTGAAGGATTTCTTTTTGTGCTGAAAACAAACAATAACACATGGCTAAATTTTATGGGGGATGATTTTTACATACCCATGCCAAACGAAAGAAGCTTTGAGAAACTAGAACATTTGGGAGAGGAGAACATGCCCAAAAGTGCGAAAATAGATTCTTCACTAGAATCAGGGGAGCATGTAGAAGTAAGTCAAGAAGTTTCTGCAAGTACAGATGAAATCATCAATGAAATAAGACACCTGGTAACTGGCATTTCCTCAGAAAAGAGCCGAAAAACAAAAAGCATAGAAACACAAGAAAGCATTCTTCGTGAGATCGAAAAGTTAGCTGCCGAAGCCTACAGTATTTTTAGAAGTTCTATTCCATCTTTTACAGAGAAAACTGTATCAGAATCCAAGGAAGCAGAACTCCCTTTAAAAATAAGTTCAGGAACGGGTTCAGGTTTCGAAATTTTATGTCAGGGATTCAATTGGGAGTCCCACAAATCTAGAAGATGGTATATGGAACTACATGATAAAGTTGCTGAGTTGTCATCACTTGGCTTTACCATTGTTTGGTTACCCCCACCTACTGAATCTATCTCCCCTGAAGGCTACATGCCAAAGGATCTATATAATTTGAACTCCAGGTACTTCTTTCTAACAACTTAAGGTTTCAATGAAGTTGGTGGTTATATATACATATAGTGTGTATGAATATATAATGCCATTAGTTTCAGATGGCCGGATCACAATGTTAATTATTTTCCTTGTTTGGATGGCCGAACGATATTAATTTAATTTCAAGGGTCTCGGTATATTTTGATGTATTGATCAGGTATGGACATGTTGATGAGTTGAAAGCTCTTGTCAATAAATTCCATGAAGTTGGTATCAGAGTTCTAGGGGATGCGGTCATAAACCATCGTTGTGCACATCATCAGAATCAAAATGGTGTTTGGAATATTTTTGGCGGTCGTTTGGGTTGGGATGATCGCGCAGTTGTTGGTGATGATCCCCATTTTCAGGTATAAGTACTTTTTCCAGATATCGTTTTTCGCTTCTGTATTACTTTTGGTGGTTGTGTTTTGCATTTAGCTATGTAATGCCAAGAAGTAACAATATTACTTGCAGAGAACTGTTTTTCTCTCATCTTTTTGGAGTTCCTTTTTCATATACCAGCATAAACGACGCAATCCCTTGTCAATTACACTTCCACTATAAATGCTCCAATAGTATTTTATATCTTCATCCTGTTTGGTATCAGTATACACATGGTTAAACCGTCAAATAGTACCCTTATTGTAACTTGTAAGCATACATTTCTAGGTATCTGAAGTTCCTCTTGTATGTTGTAGGGTCGAGGCAATAAGAGTAGTGGAGATAATTTCCATGCTGCTCCAAATATTGATCATTCTCAAGACTTTGTGAGGAAAGATCTTAAGGAATGGCTATGTTGGCTAAGGTTAGTCAGCCTAACCTTCTTCTATTTTGGTATTATTTGACGCTTTTGTTCTTTAATGTAGGACCCTTTTGTGATCTTTAACTCGAACCCAACATGCCTAAAGAGATAGGCTCAGCCTCCGGGTAAAACTAAAGTAAGATTGAGTTTACATATAAAGCCGAAAAGGTCCCAATTAATTTCCCACCCATGTGGAACTAAAAAATCTTGAACCTTTTCATCCTAATAATATCCAACAATATCAGTATCCAACAATATCAGTAGTCTCCAATATTTTTAGGTGATGCCAACAGAAGAAAGTTAAAACTTGAGAAATTTAATTGTAAAGCAGAAAAAGAAATAACATGCAGTTCATGTCTAGTTATGTTATATTCTCGGCATTTTGTAGGAAGGAAATCGGATATGATGGATGGAGGCTTGATTTTGTGAGAGGATTTTGGGGTGGTTATGTAAAAGACTACATGGAAGCAAGTGAGCCTTACTTTGCGGTTGGCGAGTATTGGGATTCTCTAAATTACACATATGGTGAAATGGATCACAATCAAGATACCCATCGACAGAGAATTATCGACTGGATTAATGCCACTAACGGAACCGCTGGGGCTTTCGATGTCACAACAAAAGGAATTCTTCATTCCGTAAGTATTTTCCTTCCTTTCCAGATACTAGTATTTCTTTACCAGTTTGGATTTGATTTCATAATTTTGTTCCATATATATAGGCACTTGAAAGATGTGAATATTGGAGATTATCAGATTCGAAGGGGAAACCTCCAGGCGTTGTCGGGTGGTGGCCGTCTCGTGCGGTTACCTTCATAGAAAACCATGATACGGGTTCGACCCAGGGTCATTGGAGATTTCCTGGTGGAAAGGAGATGCAAGGATATGCTTACATACTAACTCACCCTGGAACACCATCGGTCTTCTATGATCATATTTTTTCGGACTACAAATCCCGAATATCTGCACTCATCTCCATCAGGAACCGCAACAAGATCCATTGTCGTAGCACCGTAAGCGTATAAATATATTACAACATCTAATTATTCACATGTGAAGTTGTAATGTATGTGACACATGGATATTTCTGACATATATATAGGTTGAAATCATCAAGGCGGAACGTGATGTTTATGCTGCAATTGTTGATGAAAAGTTGGCGATGAAGATTGGACCAGGTGACTATGAACTCCAATCGTCGAAATGGTGTTTGGCTGCTGAGGGCAACGACTACAAGGTCTGGGAAGCATTATGACCACGGGTTTGTAATAATGCTATTTGAGTGAAGTCGTTCCGACCCATTATCAACAGAGCTACACAATGGCAGGTAAATTCTATTCCCAATTAAGAAACACATATATTACCATTTGTTATTTTCAGATATTAATTTGATAAACATTTGTTTCATAATTTGTAATAACCATTGAATAGAAAAAACTAAAAAGAAACTTTATTTATTATGTTGGTGTGAAATTGGACAAATATAAAGTAGAGGGGCCTGCTTTGACAGTTATGGAAACCTTGCAAACTTTTTGGAAAAGTTCATGACTATTAAGTGAATTAAATTAAATCGGTCCTGATGAAAAACAGTCGGGAGTCAGGACCATCGGTCCAAATCAGTCTTTGTTTTCAACTTAAGGACCGCACCGTAACCAATGATTGATTTGGATCCGACTCGAGAATTGGTCCTAACCAGTTTTTATGCATCCACGGTTATGCCTCCAACGTCATTACTTCTAAAAATAAAGCGTCCAACTTCGATGAACTTCTTTTAGAAAATAAAGCGTCCAACTTTGATGAACTTCTTTTAGAAGTACATGTGCAAATAAACTTCTACATCTTCTTTACCTTTGATGAGGTTTGAACCATTGACTTTTTGGAAGACTGGACTTTACCAGTAACCTGAATATTGCTAGGTCAAAGACCCTTTGATGTAAATGAACTTTTACGATACATGATTCTCCGAATACGTCCCAAAAGAACAAGCCAAGACTAAAAATCACAAAAATAATATGTGTTGCGATATTAGATGATAAAATTATGAATCTAACAAAAACAAAAACAAAAACAAAAACACGATACATGCATCTAATTTATTTGGAATTACAATAAAAGAAAAAAACTAAATGAGATTCTACATATCTTTACTGTATAAGTAACATTGATAAATAAAACGAAAAATAACTCCAATGTGAGGATACGTTTCTTCAAAATCAAAGAACTTGTGTCATTTTCGAGTGGTTGGTTCTTTTAGTTGCTTTCTTGGAGCCTTATGATCATCTTGCAACGACCTTTACAAGTAATAGAAACTATTGTTAAAATTTATAAATAGTCAATAAAAATTCATTTTATTTCATTTCAATCAAACCTACGGAAACTATATATCATCAATATCTTTTTAAATAACATCTAACGAACATGATTCTGCCGAATACTAAATACATAACAATGTACAAATCTAACGATGGTAAAGAAGACAGAATTACCCACTCGTTAATTTCTTTGCTTAATGTTGCGGTAACTTTCTCCGGTTGGGGTTTATATGATTTCATAGCTTCTAAGATGGCTTTATATTCTCGATCTTTCAGAAAATCATCAAGTTCCGCAATGTGTCCGGGATCTTGATCTCCTGCAAAGATAACCGGGAGGACGATCACAAACCACACGACGGCGACCGGAAGAACCCGAATACGAAGAATTGGTGTCATCTTTTTTCGTATTTCTTTTGTTTCTTAGTTACGTATTTTCAGTTTTTATATATCTCTCACATAGTTGGTTTTTGTGGATCAAAGATTTATTGAATTAAAAAGAAACAGTTTTATTCCGTTTTATATAAACCCCAGAAAGACACGGAGACAAGGAATTTTAGGAGAAAAGAATCGGAGAGATTCGGGAATTTGAGGTCACAAGGTTTCGTTTGCACGTAATATCACTCTAAAAAATTTATAGTACAAGTATACATATGTAACATTAGGCTTTGATCCAGGAATTTAACGGTTCAGATATCAAATACAATTAAAACACGAAATATTACTAATTTTAGTAATTTGGTTTGACCATAGATTTCTCTTGGCATACATTTATCTATCGAGATACTTTTTTGGTAGTCCACGAGTTAACTTATCGTATATAAATATTTTGGTACGAACGATTGGATCCCTGAAAGAAGCCACAAAGGCGAATCACTGTGGTTCGGTTTCCCCAGTGGTTCCCTTATTATTATTCCATGACGAAAAGAAACACCAATTCCATGCCTTTCTTCGTCTTGGTTTTTGTCATCATTGTTCCAGCCGTTTTGGCTGGAACAATGAGACAAAGTTCATGTAATGACGCACAATTAGACGGCTTCATGCAAGAACGCGCTCACAACGCCACCAGGGCCGCCATAAAAGCGTATAATCCTCACCCCGAATCGGCCGTTATCAGATTCAGTAAAGAAGTTCATGAGTAAGTTGTGTAAATCGCCTTCGGTAGAATCCCATATCAGCTAGATTTAGATCATTGTTCTTCAATAGATGTTGGAACTTTCGTTCTTTCATCAAGGGTTTTTTTTAGAATAATTTAATGGGATTATACATATTCTGAAAGCCAATATGGTTTTAGTTAACCGTTTACTTCTGTTCTCAGGTCTTTGTTGGAGACGAATTCAACGAGGAGGAACCTGGGGGGCCGTGGTGGTGGTGGTGGTCGTGGTCATGCTCATGGTCGTGGTCATGGTCGTGGTGCATGCATGGCTACGAACCCGATAGATAGATGTTGGAGGTGCAATAGGAATTGGGCGAAAGACCGGCAAGCATTAGCCAAATGTGCACGTGGGTTCGGTGAGCACACCATTGGCGGCATGCGTGGTCGAATCTATGTGGTAACCGATAGCTCAGACCTTGATGTTGTGACTCCAAAGAAAGGAACCCTTCGGTATGCAGTCATCCAAGACGAACCACTTTGGATCATCTTTGAGACGTCTATGGTGATCCAACTTAAGGAAGAACTTATGATTAACAACGATAAGACCATCGACGGTCGAGGGGCTAACGTCCAAATCGCATATGGTGCCGGGCTCACAATGCAGTTCGTTCATAATATTATCGTTCACGGGATCCATATCCACCATATTGTGCCAAAAAAAGGAGGGATGGTCCGAGATTCATTAGCCCATTTCGGGTTAAGAACCGCCAGCGATGGCGATGGGATCTCGATCTTTGGTGCGAGCAAGGTGTGGGTCGATCATGTCTCGCTTGATCATTGTGCGGATGGGCTAATCGATGCGATCATGGCTAGCACGGCTTTAACCATCTCTAATTGCAAATTCAACTATCATAACGACGTAAGAAACCAATTTTTCGATCTGATATATGGTATTCTTGTTTGATTGACCTTGGTAGTAACAAGTGATGCTGTAACAGGTGATGTTGTTAGGGGCGAACGATCAGTTCACCGGGGATGAGATTATGCAAGTGACGGTGGCGTTTAACCGGTTTGGAAAAGGATTGGTGCAGAGGATGCCGAGATGCCGATGGGGATTCTTTCACGTTGTTAACAACGACTACAACAAATGGGAAATGTACGCTATCGGCGGAAGCATGAACCCAACGATCATCAGCCAGGGCAACCGATTTCGAGCCTCCGACAACGTCCACGCAAAAGAGGTACATGATTAATCCTTATTTCTCCCTAATACATGTTATAACAGGGTACCACATATTCTCGTGTGATTAATTCTTATTTTGTATGTAATATGAAAATTGAAGGTGACACATCGAGATCACTTTCCGTTCAAAATGTGGAAAAACTGGAGATGGAGAACAGTGAATGACCTTTTTCTTAACGGAGCGTTTTTCGTACCATCTGGTGACCATTCAGAAGTGGCTAAAGAGCTTAAAACCCATATGGTCCAAGCAAAGGACGGGTCCGCCGTGGGTCGACTCACTCGCTACGCGGGTATGCTCTTATGCAACCACGACAAACCGTGCTAGTATACAAAAAACCGTTGTTCGTTATATTAATTGTCTTTCAAGAAAAACTTTGTAAATTAATTTTTTTTATTTAATTTTTTTATTGTAGCCAAGCCCAAGCATTTGATGTAAGCATGGGCATAAATGATTTCCAAGATCAATGTTGTGGTACCATTTTTAGTTTGTAGTTTGGAGGATCAAAATGTTACAATTTTGAATAGAAATTTAATTTCTAAAAAAGTCCAATTTTTGTGCATTTTTATGATATTAATCAATTGTTCCAAATGTTACTTAGTAATTTATACAAGGGAAAGTTAGATGAAAAAGTAACGTACTTTAACTTGATTTCTATTTTATGTAACGTACTTTTAAAACTTCTTTTTTGATACCTAAGATGTAGAGTTTTAAACATTTAAGTACCTGGGTAACTGGTTGAAGCATCGACTGATTACCATGCTGATGTAGCGAGTGATGTGGTATCCGGTTAATACTTAAAAAAATAGATACCACATCACTCGCCACACTAGCATGGTAATCGGTTAATGTTTCAACCGGTTATCCGGATACTTAAATGTTCAAAACTTTGCATCTTAGGTACCAAAATGAAAGTTTTGAAAATACGTTACTTAAAATAGGAATCAAGTTAAAGTACGTTACTTTTCATGCAATTTTTCTAGCATGTGAATATTGAAAAGGGTAAATTTGAAAAGTAACGTAGTTTAACTTGATTTATATTTTAGGTAACGTATTTTCAGAACTTCTGTTTTGTTATCTAAGATGTAAGGTTTTAAACATTTAAGTACCTGAGTAACCGATTTAATACTAATTTTAGGTTAAAGAAAGACTGATTTTAGATTAAAAAAATGCATGTCACTAATCACGTCAGCAAATAATACTGAGTTAGATACCACATCCTCACTACATCAGCATGATATGCTTCAACCGGTTACCCGGTACTTAAATGTTTGAAACATTACATCTTAGGTACCAAAATGAAAGTTTTGAAAGTACGTTACCTAAAATATGAATCAAATTAAAGTACGTTACTTTTTATGCAATTTTCCTTATTGGAAAACAAGCAACTTCAGAAAAACATCTATGTCTGAATTACGAGTGAAATTTACCAAAATGTAAGATCTCAAATAAAATAAGCAACTTGGAAAAAAAATCTCAATCCAAGTTATGGCTGAAAAGTTACGGCCTTACAACTATTACACCATGTATATTCCACGACTACTCGGTAAAATTCCAATATCTGTTAGCGTGTAAGTTTTGGAATAATAAGCTTAATAAAAAAATCATATTGATCCAAATTATGAGTAAAAAGGTATAATGTCATGTTTATTACACAATAGAAACAATCATGTCGATTCGAGTTATGAGTGAAAAGTTATGATCTTACGATACCATTTTGATGGACTAAAATCTTATCCGGTAAGTAAATAATAATGTTAAATTTATCGATAAGTACTTTCTGGATAAGTGTATGGTAAACTGCCCCTAAACCACTTATTGAATAAGCCTGTTTCAAACAAATCTGTATAAATTATGAGTGTCGTTAAAATCATTAAACTATTAACGAACATCATCAGTTATTGCAATTCGATACATTTGTTAAAAAATCAAATGAGGATTAACGTTCTCTCTCTCTCTCTCTCCCTATCATACAGAAACACAAGCACATCGCCTAACAATCCTCTGTGTTTCCATTGGTTCATCTCCCCTGCAGCCATGGAACTCTCTCTTTGCCATTTGATATTTGATATTTGCCATCTTCTGATCGAGATTATCACCTAAACTTCTGTATTATTTCACGCTGTGTGCAGTGGTTACATAGAAGATCCTAGCGCCGGGTTTGCTTACGAGGGGTAAGTCGGCGTTTCCTGACTTCAATTCGTTGATTTTATGATTCTTCATATGGTTTAAGTAATGTTAAGTCTGTCGAATACTGTGATCTCAAAGAATGGCGTTGTGTGGTTAGGTTGATGAAGCCCTAATTTTAGGGATCTAGTATGTTAGGTTCAGTGGAATTTGAGTTTAAAGTTTAAATTCAAGTCTCAGAAGATGATAGTTTAGTATAATTGCATAATTGCTGTAGGAAATCTACTTTATCATACTGATGCATCGATTATATAAAATCCACAAAATGGATTAACAATTAGAGTTTGAAATCGGTATCAACTACCTGCTAACTCAATTGTGGGCTGTAAGGTTCATGTCTCCGGTTCAGTGGCTTGGTAATTCTTCATCTGATGCTTATTATACGTCTGGAGAAAGTAAACAAGTAGATCAGCCTCTAGTCATGCTTGTTAACTTAAAATCCATTAAGACAGAGACTAGATAAAATGACCAATTTATCCCTAACGAGTGTTTATGTATTTTGTTTAATTATGTAATTCAATAAGTTATAATAAAATAAATATTTTCTATAACAAGATATATCATTAGATAGCTTTCGTCAAAAGGATTAAAAATGACACCAAAAATAAAAAGTTTATGTAGTTTCCAATTTTTATTTTATACCTTCTCTATATTATTTTCTTATTATTAATATTTAATAAATTACATAAATTAAAAATATAGAAAACGTATAAAAATAATATTTCGAGGACAGTAAAGTGAAAGTTTAAAAGCATAAATACGAAAAATAAAATTTAAAGAATGAATAAAATGTAAAGATGAAGACTTATTTAGGGGGTGTTTGGGATTGCTTATTTAAAACAACTTATGCTTTTTTGTAAAAGTGCTTATTAACTTATGTGGTATCAAACTGGAGTTTTGTAAAAAGTGTTTGGATTAGCTTATAACGGTACCAAAAAGCAATAAGTTGATAAGTTGGTTTTTAGTGTTTGGCAAATTTGGCTTATAGATGTAAAATTACCAAAAAGCAATAAGTTGATTTTGATAAGTCAGGGGGGATTGACTTATCAAAAATGACTTATTACCGGTTTGGTACCGGTATAAGCACTTTTTTTTTTTTTACCCAAACACTCCAAAATGACTTATCTCCGGTACCGAACTGAAATAAGTTAATAAGTCAGTTTGAAAAGCTTACCCAAACACCCCCTTAATGTTTAGAAGAGAATTAGGTTTTATTTTAAAGTTATATTGGTAAAACATAGGTCTATTCTACCTTGGTCTATAGGACGGGGGTCGAACACACCTGTTCCAGTTTGTTCCATATATATGTCCTGCCAAATGTGGAACAGTGATCCTTGTTCTGTCATGTCTTGTGTACCAAAGGCACCCTTATTATACTGAGACAGTAGGTGTTTGAAACGTATCAACTTTAACGGGTTGCTTACTGGCATTTTGTTCAGAACTTGTAAGATAAGGGGTTTGAGGATCTTGAACACAGCAACACAAAAAACTCTTTGTTCGGTAGAGGCTCTTCTTCCGTATGAGATCTTATAACCGGGAAGCGTAGGTAGAAACGCAAGGAGAAGCTGCTGTTTGGATTCGGCTTCCCTACCTTCCCTTGCCACTTTTGACTCCTGTCGCCCCCGGGGGGCGGGGGTTAGAATTGGTACCGTAGACTTTTGATTATGTCAAAGTATGTCTGTGTTCATATCTCCGGAGAGCAGAAGCAAAAATTTGAGTGTTTTTCTGATTTTGTAATAGGTGGCTAGAATGTCGACTCCTGCTCGGAAGAGGCTGATGAGGGATTTCAAGAGGTTACAACAGGATCCTCCTGCAGGAATCAGTGTAGCACCCCAAGACAATAATATAATGCTGTGGAACGCTGTAATATTTGGGTAATAAATAAAATTGCGATGAAGCAGTTCAGATATATATTTTTTTATTAACCTGGATATCCAACCCGCTATGCGAGCCGAATAATCCCAGGGCGACCACCTGGTTTGCAGATAGCCCGGAGCCACCGCATTTGAACCTCCGTGGCCACAAGGGAATTTTTATATCATAAGATTGGTGCAATTGATTGTTTTTACTTTACATGTTTATGTACATTTGTATTGCAACCACATGTAATGCCTTTTTGTCTTCTTTATTGCAGTCCGGATGACACCCCATGGGATGGAGGTACGATCAGTTCGCTTATTTTCTACTTGAGTAGCATAATGGTCATCGATGACTGGCTCTCGAGATTTTACTGTTGTGTATCTCTGTCTTTATATCTGCTAACGTATCATCGAAACTATCAGGTACTTTCAAATTGGCTCTACAATTTTCAGAGGATTATCCTAATAAACCACCAACCGTGCGATTTGTATCTCGTATGTTCCACCCAAACAGTAAGTATCTTAACTTTGATATGCATTGTGAAGTATGTCTATTCTTTCATGTTTCCCTAACTTCCGTGCGCTAAATGTAGTTTACTTCAACCAGTACGACAACGTACAAACTTATATAATATGGTTTGCATACTCGAATAGTCCATGGCTGGATTTTTTGGTCACGATAACCGCTTACTTATTTAAAGAACGTAAAATCTGCTGCAATTAATTATCTGTTTGATTACCGACAGTTTATGCCGATGGAAGTATCTGCTTGGACATCTTACAAAATCAGTGGAGTCCTATCTATGATGTTGCTGCTATTCTTACCTCCATCCAGGTAACCTTTTCATTAAGTTTCATGCATCATAGTTGCACCATATTAAGGTTGCGTTTGATACACTGGACATGACAAATAAGGGATCACTGTTCCACGTTTGGCAGAATTTTTGTGTGGAACATGCTTGTTCCACTTATGGAACTAGGTGGGACAGACTATAATTTAGCAATATAACATAAAAATAAGACCTAATTCTTTTCTACATCAAATACACCTCACTTTTTACATTTTATTTATTGTATTTTATGCTCTTTAAACTTTCGTTTTACTGTCCTCAAAATATTATTTTTATATGGTTTCTATATTTTGATTCATTTATGTAATTTATTAAATATTAATAATAGAAAATGTATAAAATAAAAATTGGAAACTACATGAACCTTTTATTTTGGTGTCAGTTTAATCGTTTTGACGAAAACTTTCTAATGATATATTTTGTTATAAAAAATATTTATTTTATTATAATTTAATTAACTGTATAAATTAATCAAGATATATAAACAAGTTATTATGTGTAAGTTGGTCGTTTTATCTAGTTCTGTCTTACCAAACGGTGGACAATTGTTCTATTATGTCATATCCTGTCTGGATACCAAACGCACCCTAAAGTATCATAGATTATTGGAACTTCAAAATATATACTGTAGATGCGTTTCCATTTACTATGGTCTAATGATAGTTGTTCGACTTTTTTAACAGTCGTTGCTTTGTGACCCGAACCCAAACTCTCCTGCCAATTCAGAGGCTGCACGAACATTCAGTGAAAATATACGCGAGTACAACAGGAGAGTACTAGAGATCGTTGAGCAGAGCTGGACAGCTGACTGACTAAATATACGATCCATATGTTATATAACCTCTTGTTACATTACGTCGCCATTCTTAGCATACAAATCAAAATAGTCCAATAGGAATCCATATTGGTTCATGGTTAATAGGTTATTAAATATTTAATAAATACGGGGAAATTAGTAAGAAAATGTTGACATGGGAGTTACATTGTTTCTAAAATTTGGCTCTTTTCAAATATTTTATTCCTCCAGACGTAATGAACATTTTATTATGTCTTCCATCGTGTTCATCTTTAACATGTTCGGAATGACTAGTCATTAGGTGTGAACATGAGTGTGAACTAACATGACAGACGTTAAAAATGTTCATGGATATGTTCAGTATTTTCACCACCCATCTACAATGTAACAGAAGAGTAATTGTAGGGAAGAAGATGATGGTAAGTTTCTTTTATTTGTTTTGTTTCGAATTTACCCATGTTCATGATTATTCACCTTCCTTACTAATTGCTTCAGTTACTTTTAATACTAAATTAACAAAATCAACTTAAACCATTGATCTAATAATTGAATGGTTAGAGATTGGTTTTTAAAGTTAACACAAAAAACAAGGTCAACAAATGAAGGAGTCCCTACATATATATATATATATATATATATATATATA